TGTAAAAGGTTGCCTCTAGGCAAAGACCAAGAGGAAGTATCACTGAGATGCAGACTGAGATGCAGGTTACAAGGCTTCTTTCAACCTGCACACACCTATGCCCTGACAGTCCCTGAGGCAGAGTGGTACGAGGCACACACACATTGCTCCAGCAAAAATAGCTCCATTTCTACACTCAGAGGACTCTGACAAAAGGGATAAACTGCACACCACAGCTAGAGTAATCTTCTCTAGAGCTAAATACCAAGAAATTGCTCTGTAAAAGCACATTACCCAGGAAAGCATAGCAACTCCACACAGTAGAGCAAAACAGCTATGATAAAAAAAATACCCTTTGGGCACTGCCACACCAAGGAGCAGGGCCATTGAAAGGGTAACAAGAGCCTTAGCTGGTTTTCAGCTCTCACCTCAACAACCTGAGCCACGATTCCAGAACCAATCATGAAAACAGGAAGTATTCCTCTCAAATTCAAAGCAGCTCAAACATTCAGCACTGGAGTGCCTGCTACTTTTTTTTATTTTTTATTTTTTGCCAATATTTATTTTATTTAACTTTCTTTTTAATGCAAAGGTGAGCAATATTTCTTCAGGTGTAGCCAGGGACAAACTTCTGTGCATCAGAGTGGTTGCTGTTACTCCTTACCGAGGCTGCAGCTGTTGCTTTATCAGCAGGTCTTAGCATGAGTAAATCTGAGCATATGCTTGGAGAGTTTCCTTATACAAGCTCTTCAAGCCCTGTGCTTACCAATTTCAAGCAGCACAGAAAGGCAGATATACAAGTGAGAAGCCCTGGAAGAGCATCCATTCACAGAAATAACTGAACATTTTCAAAAGAAGAGAAACCAGACAATTCAACGTATATAACCTTAAATTGCAGGGTGTATCTTTAGGTCAAACACTCCTATTCACTGTTATTATTCTCATTCACTGATATCTCCATTGTAGCCGAGGCACCAAATCTAAAACGATAAAAGAAAACAAATGTAACAGTAACAGACTATTGAACTGAATGTCATGCCACAGGCCTTGAAATGAAGAGTTCAAGCCTTTTAAAAGGATTGGACATTTCTACAAACAGCAGAATAAACTACTGTAAGTATTAATCAAGAGTTTGAAAGAGATGAAATGCCCTGAGAGCTGTAGCAGAAACCCTGGCGCAGGGTACCTGTTCAAGCCAGCTGCCATTCAGCAACCACAGTCAGACCAGATCAGCCATGAGAGAGGAGATAATGGAAAAAAAACAGGAATTTCTTTCCACCTGGACACATCTGTATTAGCTTCATTCCGCATACTCAAAATTCTACTCTCCCATCTTTGGTGTGTTAGCAAAATACTGTAGTCTCTTTTTATTCCTTCTCATATTGATGCAGAGATGAAAACTTCATTGGGTCTTTGATTACTATACAGAGAATACTAAAAAATACAAAATAAAAACCAAGTACAAAATGATGTGAACAAGGCTGTGACAGACAAGAAATACAGGATATCTTTGAGTTAATAAAACATGCTATCTGTTTTTACCTGGAGCCTTTTATCACATTTCAATACAGCCAGTTCGACGCTGACCACACTGAGACCTGGTAGCCAGAACCCCACTATAGAGAACTTCAGCCCAAGTGACTGAGTTGCTGAAGAAGTGACTCATCAGCCAGTGTACTTAGTCTCACCTGTCATGAACTCATAAAAAGCTTACCAAAACTTCTGTGTGGTTGCTATTACAGGAAAATATGTCACTTCAGCAGTGTTTCTCAATCCCTCCTTCCTCAAGAGAACTGCCACAAAAAGCCATCAGCCTCCACAGCATCACATATATTTGGACTGCTGTCAGAACCCACACTGTCAAACCAGTCCAGGCAAAGATGTACTTTTATAAGCTGCCAAAATTGATGCAGCGTTTGTTTTCTGATTTATTCATCCTAACACCAGCTTGTTTTCTAAACCAGGAGACTATGCAGAGGAGCAGAAGTGCACCTGGCATAGAAAGCACTGTAAATATTTAACACAAAGCTAAAATGGGTCTGACATAATAATCCAGGATGGCACTCTAAGTGTGCTGGATTTAGAAACAAATAAGTCCCAGTCCTTATCATCTCCTCCTCAGCCTCATTCTCCCTCGCCACCATCACCACCCTCCTCAGGTGGGCACACACAGCACCCCTGCCACAACCACACACATCTTCACAGATTTTGAAGTCTTGGTAGAAAGAAATTGTGCCTCCACAGGAAAATCCCAGTTTGCCTGTAGCTGTACAAACTTCTGTTCTCAAAAATTTAACTCTAATGGATGGACTGCATCTATCAAAAGCTAACTCCAGGAAATCTTACATCTCCCATAGCAAGTGATGGAAAGAAAGATGACCTTTACAATGAACTGCTACTAACTCACTGCATGGAAAAAAAAATTAGATCTCTTGCATGCTGTAATACACGATACAATTGTTTGCCTCAAGGAAACTAAAATTGAACTGCAGAACCAGCTGGTTACAGACAGCAGTGTGAAAAGTTCACCTCCCCCTTTCTCTGCTGCTTAGCTGGAAGAGTATTAGTCAACAAAGCAAAGGATTATTTGTACTTCACTCTGCTCAGATTAAAAAGGATAAATTCTAAAAATGAATCTATAGCCTTCACTTCAAGAACTAACATACAGTGCTCCAACAAAGGAGAGAAGAGCTTTGATGAAACATCAAATGAGATTAATAAAAAGATCACCGAGATGAGCTTAGAGTGAATACTGTGCAAAGTTTACTTTTTGGAAAATTGAACACAAGCTCTGTCTTTATACCTGACCTGATTTTAAAAATGGTGGGGGAAGGGAGAGAGGATGCTCAGATGAATTCCTTCTGACCAGAAAGTAAAGCACAGGATATTGGCCAGCCAGAGCAATACTATCCCAAGCCACATTGGTCATCCATAGGACTATGGAATGACAAAAGGTGGCACCAAATTGAAAGGTGGCATGAACTGCTAAAGCAATGGGAAAATACTTGGAAATATTTACAACTGATAATCTTCCTCTGACGAGTGAAGAAACGGGACCTACCCAAACCTAACTGAGAAATAATTAAAAGATAACTATTGTATAATAACGGGGAAAGGGTATTTAAACATAGCTAGCTTAAATGAATGTTCAAGCTCTGCCTTTGCTCAGCGTTCTTAGCACTTAATTGAAAAATAGCACTCCTCAAGAAAAAAAAAAAAAGTGAAACCCAGAAAGGGATGAAAAAATGTCAAAATCAGACTTCCTTTCTGGACAAACTGCCAGTATCACAGACATTTTTAAGGACAGGGCACACAGTCAATTCTTCCAGCATCCCCTCCCCCCAAGTTTAAGATTTTCAGCTGGAGCTCAGCAACAGAAGCAATTTTTTTTCCAAGTGATTAAGTAAAAAAGACTTTCAATCAGTTGAAACACAGGCAAAGAAAGAAGGGCAATTTCACAACCAGTGCTAAAACACTAAAAACATTGTTCTAACACAGAAACAGATGAACAGCACAGATGCAATGTTATACTCAAATTTCTACACACAAAGCACAGAGGAAGAGCTAAAAGTGGTACTTAAAGATAGGGGTTGTGACCTAATGAGTGCAATTCAGCCACTTAAATTAACTCAGCTCCCTTTATTTATATATATATATTTATATTATATATATATATATATGTATATATATATATATATATATATATTTTTTTTTTTTTTACACAGAAACAAAGAAATGGATTACAGTCCCACACTGAGTAAAGAATTTATTAGGGCATTCCTCCCCAAACCTGCTTTGTCTTCATTAGAAATAATGGGAAAAGGTTGTTCTAAATGAAGAATTTCTAATTCTACGAGGCAAGAAGCTTTAAGCAAAAATATCTACTAAAAAACCCAAACCGTTATTTGACAAAAAAGGCTGCCTTTCCTGATTGTCTGTGACATACACAGTAATGATAAGAAACAGTTGGTTTCTTTAGTGCCCTGTAAGACATAATGCACCAACCATGTTAGTCCAACTGAAATTCCATTTAATAAACCTATAAAAACATTTCTGTTTCTAAACATTCAAATGGAAAAAATTCTCCACAACATCCTCCATGCCAACAGCATCTTTTTATCCAGCAATAGCAAAATGTGGCAAAGATAAATAAACTAAGCTTGAGAATGTAAACCAGTTGTTAAATTGAACTGAACAGATAAGCAGCAAAAATGGGAGATGATGTTTCCCTTCATATCCTCTTTTGGATGTAAAAGACAAAGTACCACCCAGCTGCCCCAGCGGCCTACACACAAGAACTGCAAGTACTGTGCACAGATGAGACCACATCACAGCTGCTGGAAAGATCATTAACTTCTTTTTGAGACACACAGCTTCCTGGTCACCAACCCACCACATTCACTCAAGTCACCTCGAGCAAATAAATCTTTAATTCTGGATCAAATAAAGCAGAAATAAGCAGGTTCAAAATGCAAACAATCATTGTTTCCTGGTTGTTGGGCTTTTTTTTTGTTTGGTTTTCTTTTTTCACAGGATGCAAAAAAATGCTCCAGTATAGGCTGATCCTTTTAACATGGCATGAGGGTAATGATTCCTTCCAGATGATCCTCCATGATCCTCCTGTTCCAGTCTCTTCTCAGCCTTGGGAATACAACTTGATAATGTTCTATTTCATAATAAATTTTATTTATTGTAATTTAAAATGTCAGCAATAACAGAAGCTGGTTTTTTTTGTTTGTTTGTTTTTGTTTGTTTTTTTTAATCATATCCCTGCTGAACCAATTATCCTTTGAAGAAGTATAATTAGTCGCTGTGGTTATAAATGTTACCACAACAGAAGGCATTAATATTATTCAGAACAATTTTCACAAACTCAGTTCTAATCCTCATAGTAACACGTCACAAAAATGTTGAGTAAGTCAACCAGAAGATGAAGGTTTGCAGCACATTCTGTAGGTTGTTTGCCATCAAGTTTCAGCCCCAGAAAATAAATGCACACACAATCTGCCCTTATGTCAGCATTACCTAAGTGCTGGAGAGCATCCAGTCCATATGGGAAATTTATTGGGTTATATGTATTATACAATATATGACACATTTGATCATCTCCAGTTCAACATGTACAGCTAAACCAAATAACCTTTGACTAAAAGACTACTCATCCTCTCCTTTAAATGTACTTGTTCTTCCCCTTAAAGGTTTGATATCACTTTTCCCATGCTGTCTTCTTGTAATTTCACTTGCCTTTTCATGCTCAACCATATAAGAAAATTCTTCCCACAAGGAAATTCATTTACTCTCTTGTTCAAGCTTCTCATGCTGGACGTACCAAGACCAATAACACATGAAAATCTTTGGTCTCTTCACACCATGAAATATTCTGTAAGTTAAAGGCAAATAAATCTGCAGAGAAAATTAGCATATACAGAGCACATGTACTTTCCACAACTGCAGCTTGTGTGAATATACAATGCCACCTAACTTGGACACCATACGTATTGATTCAATTCAATTGCAGCGTTACAGCTTAATCTGAAGCTAGCAATTATATTCTGTAATATGAATTAATTGAATACTTGAGTTTTAGAAGTCACAGAGAAGTCCAAACATCCGAGGCATGGTTCTGTTACGTCTTTACATTAATGCACAGATTTGCCACCTCTTCCTTCTCAAGCTTTGATCAGCTTTTTCCATCTTCCCAGATTGCCTCCGCATAGAACTGTTCAGTGTGCTACAAACAGCATTATACATCAGTGCTCCAACACTCCTGCTCAGATACATACAACCAGCCTCTGCCCTTCAGCTGTTGCGGCACCTTCTCAATGGAGGCTTCATTATTCACTACAGAAAGAACTTCTGAAGACTACGTGTTTTCCTCTAGCTGGTTCGCCTGTCAGAGGAAAAATAATTATTGAAAAACAGCATACGTGTTTCATTTCTCTTGTCCAATTTTTTATGCTGACATTAAACGTGAAAAACAAAATGTGCTTATTTAAAAAAAAAAGCTATTAGGTAGCAAAATGATATTCACAAATAATAGAAATTCTTTTCTTTCCCATTTCAACTGAAATGCTATGTATTAAGCTGGATTGTGGGTAGTGGGTAGTAAGATTGAACTCATTAAATACAATAATAACCAGATAATTAAAAAGCTGGCACAAAGAAAAATATAAATTAAAACATCTACTATTTCATAGCTGTGTTAAGCTGCTTAGATCTAAGTTAACAATGTCTTTGTTACAGGAAATCTTTTTATTCTTGCAAAAAAAACCAAAAACCCCAGCTTTTCTCAAACATATTAGATACTCATCACATTTTCTACTCTACAGCTACTCTATATTCTAGCTACTTCTACTCTAACATATTGAAACAAAAAAACCTCATTTTCCTTAAGTCTCATTACTTAGTTTGTTTCTACAGCAGGAGAACACTTTAAGTTGCTCTAACTCAGGGGACCAATAAGGAATTAAACATTTCCTCAAATATCTGTTAATTTTACATTATATCTCACTATAAAACACAACAGAGGAAAAGGCACAATCCCACCATGCTAAAAGAATACGCCTCACAGTTTTGCTGTAAAAGTACAGGCATGGTATTGAAAGTCATGTCCCCATTATTTTACATTGCCTTCCTAAGATTCATTCCCTTTAAGCAAGCAGAATATTGACTTATATAAAATTTAATACACACAGGTGAAAACATCAAGTCTTTTCATCTCTAAGAGTGAAGAGAATGAATTTTATCTCCACGTAATGCAAGAGAAGGACGGCTTTAAGAAGTTCTTGCACACGTCCAGCCATGCACAATCTAAGCAACATACACTATATCATATCATGGCTCACAAAAGATAAAGGAACAATAATGAAAAGCAACAATAAAAAGAAAAATTACTCTGCCTTCTCGTCTTTAAGCACTCTGTATTTGGGACTCTGGAGCTCTTCAATGCTCTCTGCAATTGGCTTATTTAGTGTCTCTGGGAGGAGGAAGGTCAGGAATCCTGCAGACAGCCCACTGATTCCAAACACCACGAACGGTACAGAAGGACTAAGAGACTTCTGAAATTACAAATCCATAGCAAAAAGTAACACTGCTTGTTGCTCTTAAAATACATGAGCTACGTGAACTTCAGACAAAACTGAAAGGCTACAACTCCTTCATTTGAGAAATTTAATTGCTTACGTGCTATAAGTAGTCAGACTTTAATACATCTGTTGCTCAAAAAGTAAAAAAGACCTGCTCTTACCATAGTTGGCACAAATGGAGCCAAAATGCCCCCAAATCTGCAAGACATGGAACAGACCCCCAGGCCAGCATTTCTGTTTTAAACAAAGGCAGAAAAATACAAAGTTTCAGAATATACAGCTGCAGCGTGTGGTGGCACTGTTAGAAACAGCTTACATGGTTTGTTTTTGTGACCAATTGTCTTCATCAAACAGAAGAGAAAATAAAGAAAAAGATGTTTCCTCACTATCCCCCTTCTCTGTGGGATGGGAATTGAAAGGAAAAGAAACAAAAGCAGAACTCACGGGTTAAGATAAAACTATCTACAAAGATAGGGAAAAGGATAATAGTTATGACGAATATACATACGTATATAACAAGTGACGCACAAGCAATTGCTGACCACTCCATAACCAATTCCCAGCTAGTGCCCCCAGGCAGTGAAAGAGAGTGATGAACTCCCACCCCCCGCTTAGAACACCTTCCACTTGATGTTCTATGGTATGGAATATGCCTTTGGCCAGTTGGGCTCATTGCTGAGAAAGGCCTTGGCCGTACAACTCTGCTTAGCAGCAGCTATAAACATCAGTGTGTTACCAGCACTGTTTTTTCTCCTAGAACCAAACCAGACACTCATCCAACTGAAGCTAAGACACTGCCATGTAGGGCAACAAAACTGGATGTCCCTGCGCTGGATCACAGAATCACAGAATCACAGAATTGTAGGGGTTGGAAGGGACCTCCTGAGATCATCGAGTCCAACCCCCCTGCCAAAGCAGGTTCCCTACAGCAGGTCGCACAGGTAGGCATCCAGGCAGGTCTTGAACGTCTCCAGAGAAGGAGACTCCACCACCTCCCTGGGCAGCCTGTTCCAGTGCTCCGTCACCTCACTGTAAAGAAGTTCCTTCGCACATTTGTGCGGAACTTCCTATGCTCCAGTTTCTGGCCATTTCCCCTTGTCCTGTCTCCACTCACCACTGAAAAGAGTCCGGCCTCGCCATTCTGCCCCCCACACCTTAGATATTTATAGACCTGGATCAGGTCCCCTCTCAGTCTCCTTTTCTCAAGGCTGAACAGACCCAGTTCACTCAGCCTTTCCTCATAGGGGAGATGCTCCAGGCCCTTCACCATCTTTGTGGCCCTCCGCTGGACTCTTTCCAAGAGATCCCTGTCTTTTTTGTACTGGGGAGCCCAGAACTGGACGCAGTACTCCAGATGAGGTCTTACCAGGGCAGAGTAGAGGGGGAGGATCACCTCCTTTGACCTGCTGGCCACGCTCTTTTTAATGCACCCCAGGATGCCATTGGCCTTTTTGGCCACAAGGGCACACTGCTGGCTCATGGCCAACCTGTCATCCACCAGGACACCCAGGTCCCTTTCCGCAGAGCTCCCCTCCAGCAGCTCATCCCCCAACCTGTACTGGTGCATGCAATTATTCCTCCCCAGATGCAAGACTCTACACTTGCTTTTGTTAAACCTCATCCGGTTTTTTTCTGCCCAGCTCTCCAGCCTGTCCAGGTCTTGCTGAATGGCAGCACAGCCTTCAGGCATGTCAGCCAATCCTCCCAACTTCGTATCATCGGCAAACTTGCTGAGGGTGGCCATTATCCCCTCATCAAGGTCATTGATGAAGATGTTGAACAAGACCGGACCCAGCACAGACCCCTGAGGAACACCGCTAGTTACAGGCCTCCAACCGGACTCTGCACCACCAACAACGACCCTCTGTGCTCTGCCAGTCAGCCAGTTCTCAACCCACCTCACTGTCCACTCATCTATCCCACACTTCCTCATCTTTGTTATAAGGACGTCATGGGGGACAGTATCAAATGCCTTGCTGAAATCAAGGTAGACTACATCCACTGCTCTCCCCCTATCCACCCAGCCAGAGACAACATCATAGAAGGCTACCAGGTTGGTCAAGCACGACCTCCCCCTTGTGAACCCATGCTGACTACTCCTGATAACCTCCTCTTCTTCCAGTTGTCTGGAGATGACATCCAGCACAAGCTGTTCCATCACCTTTCCAGGGACAGAGGTGAGGCTGACTGGCCTATAATTGCCTGGGTCTTCCTTCTTGCCTTTTTTGAAGACCGGGGTGACGTTGGCTATCTTCCAGTCTTCAGGCACCTTCCCCGTCTTCCAAGACTTCTCAAAGATGACAGAAAGCGGTTCAGCAATCACCTCTGCCAGCTCCTTCAGCACCCGTGGATGAATCCCATCGGGTCCCATGGATTTCTGAACATTGATGTTGCCTAGGCGCTCCCGGACCACCTCTTCCCTGACAGAAGGGGGGTCTTCCATTCCCCAGATCCTCTCACTAATCTCCAGGGTCTCAGATTCCCGAGGGGAAGCTTTTTCACTGAAGACAGAAGCAAAGAAGGCATTCAGTATCTCCGCCTTCTCAGCATCCCCCATTACCAGAACACCCCCGTCACTTAGCAGGGGAGCCACATTCTCCCTAGTCTTCCTTTTACTGTTAACGCACTTGAAAAAACCTTTTTTATTATCCTTTATCCCCTTTGCCAGATTTAATTTAAGGGAATGATTTCACAACCTGGCTTGATCTTCAGAGAGAACAACCCAAATGGTGCCTCCTGTCCCTTGTGCTGTCTCAGGTTACTCAGATGAAAAGTCAGTGCTGATCTCCAAACAGAAAGTAACTGTCTGTTAGTGTGAGGCTTGAAAGCTTATGGCCAGATGGGGCCCCAGGCACTGCTGAATTCCTCACGTCCTCAGTTTTCAGACAAATTTAAATCGACCTCACCTAACCTGAACAGTAAACAAAGCAGGAGTTAGAGCAGCAGGATCCTCTTCAAAGAAAGGTGCAGAAATCCCCATTGTCTTTCATTTCCTGAACAAATGCAAAATTCTTTCCATCTCCATATGACTCCTACAAACACTATCAGTCCCTTCAGAGACCAACACTGGCACTGCTCACAAGCTGGGCAGCAAGAACCACCTCACAGCTGCTCCCCTTCCCACATGTCCAGCTTCTTCCTCTCATTCATCATCACCCTGAATTACTGAGCAGAGCTGCTCCCCCTCAGCCTGTTTTCCTTATCCAAACACAGGAAGGCAGTGACAGGATAAAAGAGGACAAGCCACGGGGTGACACGGGTCACCAGTATGCCAGAACCACCCACATTCACCTCCCTTCCTCATGGCCCTTTGCACGGGTTAAGGGAAACAGATGATGGAAGCAGCTGATGAGAAGCCAGCGACTTTGGTGTAAAAATAAACAGACAAAGCAGCCTATTCTTTCACACGCCCTCTTGGGAAAAGGACGATAGCAACCCGTACTTCCTCTCTTTAAAGCAACATCGATCCAAACCCCATAAGAGAAAGCCAATCACCTCCCCTCTGTCACAATCCCTCAAGAGATGAGTGGCACCTGTTTGTACATGAACCATTCATTTAGAAGCATCCTGACCACAAACCCTATGCCTGTCAACATCCAGAGGTTTGCCAGCTTTTTTCTGACAGAGAGGAAATATGGCAAAAATGTGATTGTAAATGCAAAATATTTTCATTCCAACGCAAAAGGAATGCAGTTCAGACTTCAGAATATAATTAATTCAGAATTCAGCATAGCGTGGGTTGTGCACAAGAACGTTTGGGTAACCAGGAGGAGGGAGACACTGCTGCTCAGGAGCTGTGAGGAAGCACTCAAGATGTGCTTATTTAAATTTTTGTTTCCCAAAACGTATTTTAAAGACGCATTAAGAAGGAAAAAAAAAAAAAGCTGAAAGCTTGTATACACTGCAGCACACAGCACTTCTTTTCTAGCATGAGTTATGTTGCTCATTCCTCCATGTACTCATTTTCATGAAAAAATAAGCATGCTTTGCACAGTGCTCATGCTCAGGGTAATACGTAGGTTCAAATAAGGAGAAGTACTACTGAAAACATTGAACAGCTCTACAGAACATCCAATTGGAAGAAAAAAAAAAAAACACACATAAAAAACCCAACAGCTTCTCCCGCCTTCCCTCTGCTGCCTTTGAAATGGGACTCCTCTCAGCACAGGGAAAGCTCCTGCTGGATGGAAGCCAGGATCACTACTGAGCTGAACAAAGGCCACCAGATGGTGCTGATGTTTTGCTTTAAAAGTAACCACTTTCCCATCACTGTTTTTCAATATTTGCAACTAATTAAAATATCAGAAAGCTATTAAAAACACATTTAAAAATGTATAAGCTGTTACATATGTGGAATTTTCATATAGTCTAATATAGCAGTTTGTCACATTATTAAGCACGATCTACTAAAGGAAGCTGATGATTTTCAAACTCCTTACTCTTGCACGTTCTCCACTAACATTCCATACCCTTGACACACAGTTACTACTGTGCCAGAATATTAGTGCAGATTCTCAAATGAAACAGAGTTCCAACTAAAAACAAAGAATAACAACAATCAATTAAAAAAAGAAAGGCAATAAAAAAACTCCACTTTCCTAACGACAAACATGTATTTTCAAACATGTTAAGGCACTGCTGTATTTCCTGCTAGGTATGAGCTGTCACAGACTTGGCATTGAACACTAGTGGGGCTTAGGAAGATAATAACATAAATCATGAGAACACAGTGAAACAGTAAAATAAAGCCATTAAAACTTTGTCAGATTTGATTCTCTTGATTCTCAACTCCAGAAAAGCAGAGGGGACAGGGATCCAAAAAATAAGAAGTACGCACCAAGAAAGAGACCTTGAAGGTCACGGAAGTTTGGACCAAATCCCATTTCAGGCAGCATGCTTGTCACTTGCATATCAAACCCCAACAAACAGCCAATTCACTTCCACCCTCACAAATTCTACTGCAAAAACTGTGTTCACAGCCTGGCTTTTGTGCCTCCCTAACATATAGGAAATTGTGAACCTCAAAAGAAACAAAATGCCAATCCAGAGAGTGCCCCACTCCCTTGTTCCTCTCCCTAGAGCCCTTCTCCTGGATTCAAGTGATCCCTATAAATACTTTTGAAATACTGTATCTACCAGTCAGGACACCTTCCTGCTCCACTTCATAGTTTCAGTTCTGTTTTGAGAGCAAAGAAACATTCAACTTCTGAAATGTGTTATGTTTGAATTTGAGCAGCTAGCACAATACGTCTCCAATACCAGGCACATACTTTGGGTACAACTCAAAAAATCACGTGGAGCTGATGGCAGGTGAGGAGAGCAGCATGAGGAGTTATCTGTTCTCCTTTCCAGCCTCAAGGAGTTGGTGAGGGCCATGAAAAATCAACTAAGGCTTCAACTCACTTGTCTGTGAATTAAATGCTGTAAAACATACCACTGCCATGTGGGAACCATTAAAATGAGTTGCATTATGAATGTTTAATTAAATAAGAAATACATAAAAGCATTTTTAAGCAGTAAACAAACATAATTATATTGCAAGTTAAAGTATACAGACGCACAGTAAATAGTCCTTACTGCACACTCTATATTTGTAATTAAGTTACCATACACTTCCATCACATCATTATGTTCATTTTTGCAACCTGCAATTTGACTCCCCAAATGAGTACCATAAATGGGAAACACAGCACCTAGCATTGCAGTGCACGAAGGTTGTTTTGCACTGGTACTGCACTGGTATTCTGACTCAAGCCTAGTGGAAATCGCCACAAACAGCCCTACAGAGAGCACCAGTGCAGAGCACTGGCTGCCAGCAGCAGCCCCTCTCATGGCAACCTGCCTCAATTTAAGAAAACTCACACTGATATTTCAGGTAACAATAATTACACCAGCAACTGGGCTCACGGTGCATGAAAGCTGACCCACGAGCCCCCTTAGATTACCTCAGCACCGTTGGGTACAGTTCAGATGTATAAATATAAGCAATGTTGAAAGCAGCGCTGACCATCATTTTTCCACACAAAGCTAACAAGGTGGGACTGAGGAGCAAACCTTTCAAGAAAAAAGAAAATAAACAATAAGCATAAGTAGTCTGTTTCCTTTTTACACAATGCTGAAAGCATTCTATCCTTTTTTCAAGAGACTTTCACACAACAACAAAGTTTCATCTGTTTCTTCAACTACACACACAAATAAGAACCCCTCGTTGCTTCCTAGCTGTCCTAAAAGCTAGAACAAAAATGAATACATAAAATCACGTTTAAGATCAAGATCGTCTCCTCGATTTTGGGGGGAGTGAATGCTAAAATCATTACAGCTCTGAAACAAGGTGATAAAGCTTCCAGCTCTGCAGTTAGAAAACCTTGCCAGGTAATTGCATCTATTGACAAGCACAAGCAGACAATAAGTGTTCCCTGACTAATTTAATAAAATTAATACAGTACAACTTGATTAATCTCAAAAACTTATTTGCTCCCCAGTGACATCCTGCGCATCCTTTAGACGCAGCAGCTCTGTAATTATGAAGAATGGATGCTAATGCAGCCTGGTTTACTTGTACCTAACCTTCAATTGACTTAATCAGGCTGTGGATCTTTTCAAATCCCAGTTACTTTGACTTTGGGTATGGTTCCATTTGCACCATCCTTTTTAATGAGCAGGGAATTTATTTATTTCTGTTAAGCATGAAGAAGGATAAATGCTCCAATTAGGTGCACTTCACCTAAGTAATGCAGAAGTCACATTGCTTCTCAATTACTTCTCTGTAATTTTGCTTTTCAATATTTCCAATTCTATTCCCTTTTCTCTGTAATCCAGAACTGCATTATGATACACAGTGACCAGATGCAAAGTGTGAGTCTGCCAAGTGCCACCAGGAAGTGGGTACCTCTCTCTTCTTTCATCAACCAAATAAGGAGCAATCAAGAACAGACTTGTAAATGTGTTTTAAAACTTACTGCTTCTCTCCCAAAGGGGGCTTAGATTGAATGCTGTATATCCATATGTATTAGAAGAGCATTAGTGCATTTGGGAACTTCTGGTCTTATTAGCAAAACAGAAGAGTCTGTCTAGACAGAGAAATTGCCACTCAGAAGCTCAGGAGCGAATTTAAAGTGCACTTTCCTCTCCACAATCACTCCCCGAGGGGAGGCTGCTGGCTGTCTGCTGGGGAATTACTGCAGGATTAGAAGCACACTGGAAACACACTGCACATCAGCTTCCTGATGTCAGTAAGCTCAAACAGTGATTGTTCCTCCTCAGCCTTGGAGTGTACATTTACCAACATTCCAATATTTTGTCTTCATCTGTAACAGCATAAAGCAGGAATGCACTTGCTCTCGTGGGGATTCTGGTGACCATTTAAAAGCAATTTGCTAGGTCCACTCAAGTGTTTCAGTGCAGCTTCTTTAACAGTTGCATCTTTATTATTACATTTCATTTAATATCCTTTCACTTGAACTTCCAGCAACAATAGCATGCACACCATTTTGCCTGCTGGGCAACCATTTTCAACTTTAATAAAAGACCAAGTTGTACGTTCTTATTAAATTCAAGCATTTGCACTTCTTGTTGAGGTATAATTTTACACATATTCTTGCATTAATTGACTTGTGGAACTTAAGATGGTAAAATGGGGCAAAATGGCAAGAACAGTGCTGATATTTAAAAGCTTGTAGAACTGGAGTTAGGCAGTGATTAGCTTTGATGCCACCAGTGTCATTAGGAGCCTAATTTGGAGTGCCATTATGTAGATTCATCTTCTGGCTGTCATCTTCATGAGAAAAAAAAGTTCACTTAAGCAGCACGCAAGGAATTAAAGGAACCTTTACATTTACTGCAGAAAAAAGTTCCCACCAAGAAAGGGTAGTTCTCAGCAAAAAGGGAACTATCCAACATCAACCAAACCTGGGAAAAAAACTGGTTTAAGAAGCTGGAAATTTTCTTCCTTCAGTGGAAAGCTATCAATGAAAAATCACAAGAGGTAACAACTGTACATTCAGTACAGTCAGGTAAATCTAAGTACGTTACCCAGCTAGAAGTTCACTTTGTTTACTTCACTATAAAAACAGACACAAAATTAAAGATCCTTCCTGTTGTACAACAACTTCTGAAAGTAGTATTACATCCCCTCACCATCTTCCAGTCTGATGTTCATTCCTCTTGAAACCTCACTGCATCCACGGAAGTGCCTCACTGTCATCACTCCCAGAGCTGACTGTCTTTCTGCTTGAGTGACACAGAGCACTCTGTGCCAAGAACCAGCTTTACCACAAAACAAAGACACTGTAATGGCATTCAAGTAGACTCCCTTAAAAAAGGAGATTTCCTGAAACTTAGCAACCCTTCAAGAATTACTGCCCCATCCTGATAAGCGATGACTGCTTTTCATCATTCTTTTTTCATTTATAGTAACAAGTGCAAACAGCAAACAAGGAAGAAATGGTCTCAGTACAAGAAACAATGGAGTGTCTGAGGATGTGAATTAACACAAACATGGGAAATAGGATTATAACATATTTTCTCTCTCACTGCTTTTCTTTTGTAGACTTTTCTGAGATCAATTTGAAATGGGTGCCAGACAGCATTCACATCTGCTGAGGATAAACACAACCCACAGATGCATACTTTGTCATCACATCACTGCTGCTCTTGGTTTGAAATACAACTAGGACAAAAGCAAGAAAAACAGATGCTGAGTGAGTGCTTCTCTTTGTCAGCGTCATTTAGATCTACATTTTCAGTGACTAAGGTAAATATTGATACAAAAAAAACAAACCAAACCTGTGCACTTGAAGTGGAAATTTATTTATTTTTTAATGAAGAGCTAAACTTTTAATTCAGGAAAATCTCAATTCCTATTTCTTAAAACACTGTGTGAAACCAAAACGAATATTGAATTCTGCTTTGTGCCTCTCCCTCTGTCAATATCTAAGTGAGGTTACAGCCCTGCAGTTCTGTCATTAAAAGTGGCATTTTAGGATAAATGAATTAATAGTGATGAATGAATGCAGTAACATTACTTGAAACAGAACTTGATAGCTCAATCTGACCACCTGAAAGCCAAGATTTTGGAAGACAGAGAAACGTGGTCATACAACAGGCTCTAGTCAGGGACAAATTGCATCTACAAGAGGTTAGAAGTAATATATATGGTCCCTGGGCTCCTGATGGGCCCTGGAAGAAAAAGACAGAAAGAGAGGGAGGTATGAACTGACAGACCCTGCTAACTGTGGGCAAGAAATACTCTGTTCTGAATAAAAGCTACAAAGCAACATAAAGAGACAAGCAGCACTTCATACCTACCAGCATTTTTTTGCAAGAACATGGTAAATATACAGGCAAATCCTGCAAATATCAGAAACCACATCATAGTTTTACGCCTTCCAGACCTAGAAGGAAAAGAGTTCCAAGATGAAGACGAAAACAAAGTCCTTCACTGTTTTTTGACTCTCTCAGCAAAATGACAGCTGAAGTATGCAGCAACATTATTAACAGTTATACGCCTATTTTACCACAGTGCCTCATACCATTTTACCATAAGTGCCTCAGATCTCACACTCTTCCTAGTTCTGTGCACCAAAGACCTCCTATAAATTCTTCCTATTTCACAAACAAATACATACATGTATACACACACACACACGTATACATACATATGTATTTTTAAGCTATTGGATTTGTAGCCTTGAGAAGAATCCATCTACTTCAGCAAGAACTCGTGCTGTATTTTGTCTTCTCTGTAGTGAGTGAGGCAATGGGCTCTGCCACTGTCACTAAAAGGGCATCACAGAGCACGCACACAAACATTAAAGTAATACAAATTAAAAAATATATAGGGCTCACTCTTCTTAATCTGTGCTTCTCTTACAGAACTAGGCATAAATACAAGCAGTTAAAACACAGTAAAACTTCTTGGTATGCTTTCCCATCTAACAGTCTACATATAGAAATAAGCAAAGGTTATTTCAACTGCCTATTGTTCTAAAATAAAAGAGAAGCAGCCAGGATAGAAAAGCATCAACCCAAACAAACAATGCTGGAAAGTGCTTTTCAGTTGCAGTTGGCAGGCAGTACAAAATCAAAGTCACCCTGAATAAAATGTGAGAGATGTACATGCAAGCTGTATGTATGGAAGTAACTGGGCTACTCATCTTTTTTTTTTCCTCAAGACTATCAAAACTCTTAGTTTTTAGTCACATTAATCACTAAGAACCTCACACCTTGAATAATTCAAAAGCTGAACAGAACTATAAAAGGAAAAGGTAGAAAACTCTAAGTCCCATTTCTGTACCAACTGCAGAAAATCCTGCAGCTGACCAAACCCCCAATGAATCCACTGGTTTAGAAGAACCACAAAGTACCTTCCCATGAAAAACATTAATGCTCTTTTAGGCTGTCTACAAATACATGCAGAAAAGTAGGAAATAAATTTTTCTTACCAAGATTTCTCAATAAAGAACATGCAGAGTGGAAAGGCCGGAACTTCCACAAGACCATAAAGAGCAACATTTAAATAAAGATTTCCTCCTAATTCACCAGCATTTAAAGTTAGCCCATAGTATACAAAGCTGCAGACATACCTATGAATAACCACAGAAGTCACATTATGAGCATAACTAGTCTTCAAAATTAAGAATTAAAAGGTGAATTACACCAAACTATAGGTTAGCTATATTAAGTTAGTATGTTAAGAAGAGAACTCTTATTTTGCCCAAATGAGAAAAAATGCAGAGAGAATAGTTTCTATTTAAGTAAACTGTATGGAAGGACAAAACAGATGCTCACATTATCAGTTTGGTTTTTGGTGTTTTTTCCCTAGGTTAGTCAGCTGATTCTTACCTGCTTTGGGGGCTGATTCTTCAGTTCCAAGTTGCACAATTGTTTAAAACAGCACCAAATGTAACTATGCAAGCATGGACCTACGAGATGTACTTGTCGGCTTTACTCTCATTTCTTACACGTACTCCAATTCTTACTCCAGATCTCTATGACTGCCTCATCCACAAAGCCATTTTCTCCTTAAGACTGGCTCAAGTACACATCCTCTCAACTACTGCTTCAGCTTCTCTTCCCCTTCAAAGTAAACACTATGTTTTCAGCAGATTTCTTATTACTAGATCTTGAAGGAGCATCTACATAACATACTGAAAATAAAATCCAACAGCAATGATAACGAAATGTCAGCTTCACAACACGCCACGCTTATTGTTTACAACTGTTAACTGACAAATTTATGATTAGTTTGGGGCAGTATTTTTAAGAGAAAAGGGTAACCATTTTAATAGCTTCCTCATGTCTGACTCATTCACAGCATCTCATTACTACATACCAGATGTACATGAGGATGACGGTTCGCCACCGAAGGACTGGGTGTTTTATTAAGTGTAGGATACCAGGGGGTGATTCGTCCTTCCGCAAAGTTCCTGCGCTTGGTTTTAATTTCAGATTTAATCTTTCTTTTCCATTACCAAGGGCAATATATTGCATCACATCTTCAGCTTCTGCAGTTTTCCCTTGGGAGTACAGCCATCGAGGTGACTCTGGAAGCATGCTAACAGGAAAGAAAAAGTAAAATCAATGGTGACAAGTTCATTCCTCAGTAAAATCAATTCTACTATTCTGCAAATCAATTACCAAAACAACAAAACAATAACTGTATTAATGCAAAATTCACAGAACAGTGTTTTATCTGCACTGTTATGCATATAAAATTTAGTGTACTCTAACAGTAATGTACAGCTAACCTCATAGAAGGATGGTTGCAAATGTTTGTCAAGCACTTTGAGATTACAGCTACATTGTGAGTTGTGCCAAACTAACTTCCTTGGGGAAACCGCACTGGCATTAACCACAGACCATCTCAATGTTCAATTACTCAAATGGCCAGGACAAAACATGGTTTTCACTGATGTTTATTTCAAACTTCTGGGACATGGGAAAGGCTCTGAGTTGAAGCAGAGAGAAAAGAAACTTCTCTGTGGACTACCTGCTAAGCTTCATGCCCTGCTCATGCTAACTGCTGAACTTGTAAGCCTTATTCATAGAATCATAGAATGGCTTGGGTTAGAAGGGAACTTGAAGATCATCAATCTCCAATCCCCCTGCTGCAGGCGTGGCAGCCAACCTCCAAATCTAGCAGTAGATACCGATATCTAATATTAGACAAATTCCCAAACACAATCACAATATCCTTGTTTACTACAACTGCAATTCACAATTCCTGCTTTATTCAGCTTGCAGAATGCACTGCTGCTTTTGAAAGTGCAAAGAGCGGACTATTTTATTTCATACCCCTAGCAGAGATATACAGCCTTCAGTACAACAATTATTTCAAAGGATCCCAGGGGTTGTTTTGTTTTTAATACCTGGGAAAAAAGGCTCTATATCCTCCAGAAACACAATATCATGGACAAAAACACAGTGTACAACATCTTTCCTCACCCTGAAGCTTTGTTTCCCTAGGCTACGAGAAAAATACTTTTTGTGCATTCTTAAACAGAACTTATTTCAAGAGCAGATTTCAAGAGTCAGAAAAGGTTTTTTTCTCTCTATGCTGTGTGCCACAAGTTCCATGCATTACTTTAGATACAACCTATTACACTAATAATTCTTTCATTTCTTCTACAGCTCTAATGTACAAGGAATATCCACTTGGTGTGTTACAAGCACATTTTGTAACAACACAAACCAGACAATGCTAGCACTTTCAGACCTTTAAATCCCGCAGTATTCCATAATTGTTTTTATAATAGTGTTTATGCAGTAATTCTAAATAGGCAGGAGCACCAAATACAATAATGATAGGAACAGAACCAAAACAGATCTGAAAAACATGCAGATCAAAAGTGTATCCAGATAAGAAAGGCAGTTCCAAGTGCTCTCAGTTATCTCCCTTCGCACGCATGCACGTTGCAAAAAGCAATTCCCAAACCCTTCAAGAGCTCTTCCAGAACTTCTCCAGCACTGAAACCCTCCTTTGGCAGCAGGCCGTGTTCCTGGCTGATGTTTCGGTGCACGGCCTCTGGCAGCCCTCTCTGCAATCAGGCTTTATGAGGCAGCTGGCATGCAGCTGCTCCGCACAGCGCTGGCTGCCACAGCTGCACAGCAGTGCAGACTTTGCTTCGGGGTAGCCCTGACCTTCTGCTCCACTTGAAACTGATTCCTTCTTCACTATGATTTACTTTTGCTTGGTTCATAAAAACACCGAAATATCATCCTTATTTATACCACTCTTGAATTATGACAAGAAAAGCTGTCAGATAGATGCCTATTTTTTCTTCCTATTATAAGACAAATGGGTCACTTACAAAGAAAGGAAGAAGAAGATGACTCCCAGAGTATTGGACACCAATGCCAGGTAGCGCCACTCTCTTACATAGTAACCCAGTAAAGCATACACAGCTATGCCCACTGCAAACATCAGATTAGTTAACGAACCTGGAAACACAAACAGAAAGGTGACTACAGACACCACTGGCAAGGAAAAAAGAATTAAGTAGAAATTCTAAATTTCAACCCCATGATAAATCTAAAGAAAATAGCAATAAAATCTTAACTTTGGACGTATCCTTATGGCATTTAAGCTGGCTTCAGTGCATTGCACGGTCTTAATGAAGAAGGCCTTTGTACAACAGGGGCAAGGGAAGGTGAGCAGGGCTGGTCCCCCCCTCAAAAAGAAAGGATGGTACACAGGACAAACCAAGAGATTAGCAGAAATCCACAGACCAAAGAGAAAATTTAGGGATAGGAAGGGGAAGCATTGTGAGTATTTAAGTTTAAGGTAATCTTGGGCTGTAACAGACATTGTAAGAAAGCTACAAAAGCACAAGGACTAAGTTCAGCATATAAAGAGCTGCATGCAGCCCAGAGCTACACTTCAGCAAGCTTCTGATGAACAGGTGTATATAAAGATGGTGAAATACAAAGTCAACTTCCATTCCAGGAGCCTACCAACAAACCTCTGCAGGCTAACACAGGAGGTCCCACACTAACCCACAAGCTCCCAACTACTGCACACGCAGCCTACCCACAGCCAACACCTAGCAGAGCTCCTTGAACACTGCTGGGCAGCTTCCAGCTGCCTCCTCTCCTGCAGCTCCTGATCAGTTGTTCAGCACCTCTTTACCAACAGCTGAGCAGGACTAGAACAAAGCACCTAAAGTGAGAAGCAGCAGGAAACAGGCATCCTGGCGGTCCGTCTAGGCTGGCCCTGCAGGGAGAGAGGCTGGGAAGTGCAGGGAAGAGCAGAGACAGAAACAGGGAAGGAGGGGTGGGAGAGAAACGATGTGAGTCAAACAAGCAAACCCAGGCAAGAAAATTCAGCACTTGAAAACCACAGCTGAAGCAGAAAGCTATAACCAAACCACCACGGCTTTCTACAACCCTAAGAGTCCCAAGGAAAAATAAGAAAAAAGGAGAGTGAAGTACTGGAGAACAGAGAGAAATACGCTCACAGCCACAGCAAGTCAGCAGCTAGACTCAGTTTTTCCCCCTGCTGTGTTGGCCAAATGGGCTTTTGGGTCTGAGCTGCTCCCATTCTACAACAGTACAACATGCAAGTGTTACATTTATCTTACGCCTTGGCAGCTGCATATGAAAAAGGACATTTAGAAAAACTGGATGGTCAACCAACAGAGATAAAAACCCTGCATCGTGGTGTGGGGCAGGGAAACTTCAAAAAAATCTCTTCCCAAGATACCATACAGTACCACTGAGAAGTTGGCAGAATCTGTCAAAACATATTTGTTTTTTTCATTATGTTTTGCAGTGCACAAATAAAAGTTTGGTTGTTGTTGTTGTTGTTTCCAATCAGTATATCTATTTAAAAGCCTCAGTTTTGCTATTTATCCAACAAACCCAATCCTGTACTTCTCATTTAGGCAGCACCCCCACAAAACTCAGAATTCGGATGAATCACACCGTATTCATTTGGCATGCCACACACTAACTTCACATTGTCAATGCCCACACCTGCACAAAGCAAGGCACTGCTAGTCAGAACAGCACTCGGCACAGAAATCACAATTAAATATTCTCAAATCCCACCTGTAAATGACCAAAATGATTTTCCTACATATTCTTGTGTCAGGACAAAAGACACAAGAGCCATTCCACCATTCACAATTCCAACAAGAAAACGTGAAACTGCAAATATGCCATAATTTGGAGCTAATGCTGTGACATACCCAAAAATAATATCAAAAAATAGACCTGCAGAGAGAGAAGAAAATATGATTAGTACTTATGCTGTGCAGCACGGTCTCAGAGGAAAGGCAGGGAGCACAGCGAGTTACTGGCTGTAGTGAATAGTATATATAGTATTTTCACTCTTATGTTTGGCTTTCTGAAACTACACCATAGTACCATTACACTAATCTCCTATCCCCACAATGACAAATTCAATACTTCCTTGAGACAATCTTATCATTAAAAAAAAAAACAACAAAAAAACACCCTTTCATTGCAAGCACAGCTGGAAAACAAAGCACCAGCTTATGAATAATCCTTTCCAAAAAGGCTGAGGTAAACGATGCTCCTTTGTCCCCCAGAAAAGAGAATATTTTTACAGGCAGTAAAACAGTCAGGCAATACTTGCAGCACTATGCTCAAATAGCAAGTCATAGCAAAACCAGGTTATTTTATATCAGCCCTTGATATTCCAGTGACCACTGTGATGCTTAGCACACTCACAGGAGCCCATTTCAGTGCTGCTTTAGTCTGTGTGAGATGCTGATATAGATCACTGATTCCACATGACTGGTGGGGCAGAAATGGGGATGTTGCTATCCAGTAGAACACTCAAGGAGAACATTTAAAGCCTTACCTGAGATATATACTGGTTTCCTGCCCAGTTTATCTGACAAAGGGCCAAATGTGATATTTCCAATAAGCAATCCAGCAAAAAACAGAGATGATGCAAGGCTCACTTTGTAGGCTTCTTGTTCAATTAGATACCACTATTAAAAAATATATATATATATCAAATCACTTTATCATCATAAATATTAATGACAAATTGCCAGCTTTCTCAAAAACAAAGACATCTACTAAAACTTTTCCGGTGTCATTTCCCACTGCTTGCTTTATATCCAATTAGAGGTTTGTTCCAAGTTTGATGAGTGACTCAACCCCTTCACTTTCTCTCCTCTAGAAATATCATCATCATCTCAGCTTCTGATTTGTGAAGTTTAATGCATTGTCAAGATTTGACAAAGTAACTCACCTGTAAAGCTTGGGAAGTTTGAATTTTTAACAGCTTGGCCATCTCAACACTGAACAAGCTCAGTTATTTCAGTGAACTGATAATAAAACTCATTAACAAGAATTAAGAGTGTTTACTACTACAATACTGAGACAGCTGCTGCTGTGCAGCCACAATTCCTGGGGCTGGTGCCCCTCAGGGTACACACACAGAAGTGCAGAAGAGAAGGATTCTGAGAAGATGTCCAGGTGAAGAGCTGTAAGAAATACTTACTGACGGTTCGATGATGTTTTTAGTATTTTACTCCATACATGTGGTTATGATCAAACAGAAGTCAGACACAAATTATGCTTTTCTTTATAAAACGTACTATGGATCTCATGCAAAAACCCAACTGAGGCAGCATAAGCAAAAATTATGCTTGTGCAGAAAGGAAGAAAAAGAACTGTGTGCTGCGTGCAGTGTGCTGGAAACAGAAAGCACCAAGCATTTCCTGACAGGAGGAGGTGGGCAGCCAGCCCACCAAGATCTGCGGTCACAGCAGCACTGCTGGGATTACAGACAGTTCACATCGTGTTGGGAAAGAAGCGTGATCAGAACAGCCCAAGTGATTCTCCAGGGAAAGAATGTAACTAATTCAATGCAAAGCTCTACCCAAAGAAATGATTGAAATGTGCAAGGAAGTTTACTTGGATATATGTGGATGAGTATTCACACCAAGACAGCATCGTGCTGACTGTGTAAATGACATCTGCAGCATCTCCTTTCGGGAAAGGAAGAAGGATCCTAATGCCATCTGCTTTTCTTTTATTTTGTTTCTTGGTTTTGAGAAGTAAGAGGATTAAAGGGGTGGTGGAAAAGACTTAAGACCAGAATTCTACACTGCACACCACGGCCTCAGCACTGTGGCACCAGACTCAGATTCATACAGATCCCCACAGACTACTAGGAATTTACAGGAGCTTCTCATCACGGCGCTCTGAAGCAACCTGTGCTCTCAGCCAGTGAGTCCTGACCCACATGGGGCAGTGTGCTGAGGAGTCACGGCTCCACCCACCGCTGCCCACCAGCCCCCGTAGGTTGGCAGGAGCAGGACCTCACTGCTTTCACAGGACACCACTTCACTCCCACGTGCTCCACTTCAGCACTTCAGACCATCGAGGGAGCTGTGGATACTCTGGGATGGTAGCACTCAGCAGTGCAGTCTCTGCAGCTACCTTCTACTACCACACTTTGCTGGGCAGCAGATTCCACCCTATTTTGGCAGATAAAGACATTGCTTACACCTGCTCAGAAAGAGAAGAAAACATAAGTTTTGGGCATAAATCCTCAGGAAACTTCATTCGGAAAACAAATATCACAGCACGCCCTCTCCGAGGCACAGAGCACTGCTGGAGCAAGGTCTCCATGCCAGCGCTCCTCAGCACACAAATTGCAAACCCCTGGTTCTCATTTGCAGCGCTCCAGGCTGGTCTGAGACACAACACAAGCTTTCAGGCCCCAGATATGGTTGCAAAACTCAAGTTCTCAAAATTAAAAAGCCATTTTTTCTTTTCCTATAGTTATCTTCTGACCTGCTCTCCTAACACCATACAAACACAGAGTACGGGAACAAAAATATTTGAATGATCCCCATCTACCTCTGCATCTGAGAGTGGCAAATGACAAGGAAAAGAATAGGGCAAAAGACAGCCTTTGCAAACTGTTACTTGTGCTGCTTACTGTGCCACTTGAAACTCCCCTTTCTTACCAAGTCTGACAGTCATCAATGAAGTAACTGTAGTTTAAAAGACCACGTCCATCTTCTTTATTTGCATAAAAGGAACTGATTGACTGCATCTTGCCTACAGAAGCATTGCCCACACTGCCATCACCATAACAGACATCCCCTGGCTCCTTACATCCGTGCAGCAGTTAGATTTACTTCCAGCTCCGAGCACCCAGCACCGCAGTTTAATGCAAACTAGTGTTGGTTTTACACTAGCAAAGCAAAGCTAATAATTTAATTGTATACTTTCAGAATAGAAAATAAGCATAAACTAGCAGAGCTAGTGGGTTCTGCTGACGTTTAACAGCACAGCAAAGTGCTGCACTGGCTGCAAAAAGCCCGAAGGAAAGAGAAAGCGGAGCGGCCGTGCTCACCTCGGTCACGATGGAGGTGAAGTTGCTCATGAAGCGGACGCGCTGAGCCCCGCCGGCTGCAGGCGCCATTCGCTCCACGCGGTACTGGGGCACCGCGCCGACCAGCACAACGAGCACGGACTGACACGCCACGTACACCTGGCAACGAGACGCGGCCGCTTAGCAAAACGGTTCCCTTTCCGCCGAGCCCCACACACGACAGCAGTTTCCGTTTACTCGGCACCGCAGCCCGCGGTCGGCACGCTTCGCTCAGCCCCAAGCGCGGACCCGCCAACCCCGGGCGCGGCGCCGGCAGCATCCGGCACCTAGCGCCTTTCTGCCCGCGCCAGCGCTGCCTCCGCCGCTCGCTGCGCTCTAGGCAGGAGATACGAACGGCTCCCGCCTCGCTTCCCGGCCAGGAAGAGACACCCTTCAAAAAGTGGAAGCCGAATACGCGCGAATAAGGAAACGGAAAGCAAACGAACTCCGCTAAGCGGAAGCCGCGCGGAGGCCCGAGGGAGCGGCCGGCAGCGGCAGGGCCCCCCGGGGGAAGAGCGGCCCCGACCCGCCGGCTCCCGACCTGCAGCAGCACCAGCAGAGCGGTGAGGCGCCGCTGCGCGCCGCCGAATTCCCCCGCCGCGCCGAAGGCCTCCTCCAACCCCGCCGCCATGGCCCGCCCGCCACGCCGCGCTCAGCTGCGCCCGCCCCGCCCCGCCCCGCGCTCCCCGCCCTCCTCACCTGCGTCCCCCGCACGGCGAGCCAGACGCTGCCCCGCGAGGCCGCTCAACGAGCTTGCGCTCACCGAGTACGGCTCTAAGGAGGTTTCGCCGTGGGAGCTGCTCAGTCCCTCCATTCAGCTCGGCTTTAGAATAAGCAGCGTGCTTCACGGCGGTCCGCCCAGCTTACCGCAAGCTGCCCGCGGCACACGCCCGGAGCGGCGGCAGGCGTGGCACACGGCCGGCAGCGCAGAGCCACTGACCGCAGCCACCTGCGGCCGGGAGAGCCGACATCTGCGGGAGCAGCGGTGCGGCACACCGAGAGAGCCTTCCCGAGGAATCCGTACTCTCTTGAGAAATGTTTTCTTGTTCTGACTTTACCTGAGCAGAACCTCATGAAAAGATGTGGCTACTGTATTTTCCGTTACCTTGAGCAGGGTGCAGTGAATCCGGCTCTAAACCAAACCGACATCAGGCTCCATGGCAAGACCGCAGGGCAGTTTAGTCATCACGCAGTTTTAGAAGGCTCTTTAGTGTTCATACGTTGACTCAGAACAGGAATTGTAACAATAAAATGCAATGTAACATGGATTACATGTGTCTACCCACATTACATCACATGTAGGCAATAAAATAGCCACTGCATCCTGCTCAAAGCAGCGTTTATTCAAGGTAGCATCAAGGTAAGTCAATGCATAATGAAACATTCCCTACTACAAACATGTAAACAAATTGACAGCAAAGTTATTATTACAATATAAAAAGTAAAGCTTACATTGCATTTTTAAAGCTACTAACTTCAGTTTCAATGTCTGACAGTCTCTGGTCCGTAGCATTTAAAAATATGAGTTCTTGAAAAATATCAAAGTATTGCCTTTGTGCACATACATTTTTGTACAAAAATACTTTAAAATACCAACTTCCCATTAATAAAAGTAACACCAAAATAAAACACTTTTTTAGTTATCAACAGCGTGTTCAATGCATTTAGCCCTTACTCCACCATTCTGCTTAACCAAATTATCTTGTATTCATTTTAAAATTCATTATAGCCTGCAAAAAGTACGTTGGATAGCATTCAGTTACTCTGACACAGCTAAGCAATTAGCATTCATTAGCAAATATTGGCAATTACCTTGTAATCACAGTCCAGACTGTGTATTTGCAACTGAGGCCATCAGGTAAATCCTTGTCTCAAACGGTGTATTTGAATATGTACAGCACGCTCTTGCTGAAAGGTCTGAGTCAGTTCAGATATAAAGTTTTGGAGCATTTCCAGAATACATAATTGAGCAGGAAATACATATTCTGTTTTAAACTACCGTTGACCTCTTCGTAACCTTTTCTTCACCTGTTTTAGCAGTTCTGTTGGTAGCAGTCAGTCAATTCTCAGGAAAGGTTTTGTTCACAACAATTACACAGTTTCAATTCAAAAATGAAAAAATGTTTAACTTTCTTCCCAGAATTTTACTGGCTAGATCTCAGCAGATGACCTCTGCAGTTACCAAGGCAAAACAAAACAAAAAAGGTTGAAAATCCACAAAGTTTAAGATACTCCCAAACCAAACTCAACTAAATTCAACAAGAAATATGCATCATCTGGATGAAAGCTAATCAGGCCATTGAGCCCTGTGAAAGATCAGCTGACAACGAACAGGAAGGAAAAACAACTTGAAGATATCAGGAAGTGGTTCCAGGATGAATGCAAAGAGAAGAATCAAGCTGCTGGAGGAGGTGGAACCCAATGCTTTATAGTAGGGCATTAGACCAAAAGAACAGCTAGGAAATCACTGATGTTTTATCACTTAAGATGATGCCTGAGAGAACATAAATATATTTATATGGAAACAGTAATCAACATGAATAATACTGCTGGCTTTGCTAGTCCCATGTGTATTTCAGGAACAGGAGGGTTTGTGCAGTCTGTCACTACCTAATAGCGAGCTGCATTTGTCAAGAGGTTACAACCCTAAATATATAACAATGCATAATGCAACTTATTACCACCAGCATGCTAAGGCCTAACCTTCTACTCAAACAACCTCTATCCTTGGAACCAGGACAGAAGGGCTTTCCCAGCTCTTTCACACAGGATTCTAATTAGTAAAACAATGGCAATTTTGTTGGTTACCAATCAAAATTAGGAGCTAGTGCAAGATGTGGCAGCAAGTGCTCAACTGGAGAATAAGATTTGTACATTCTACTCAATGCCCAGGTTATCCTAATGTTCAAGGAGAGGTGAGATGCAAATACAAAAGCCTCTGTTTCTCCTAACACCTTACACACCTTAATACATAAGCAGCCCTTCCCTTCTTAGGTGATTTCTACATTCAAGGAAGTAGATGAGAACTGCACTTATGGGACATGAGCTATGAGCCCCACCCCAGGATGCTACCTTGCTAATCATTTCTTATTTGAAACAACATTCTTGAGAAAAGTGGATGAAAAAAAAGCTTTGGCCTTTTGATGATGTACGGAGTGTTGCAGCTTCTTGCTAAAGGCATTTAACTTTCTTGGAGGACGCTAAAAGCACTGTGCCAACAATATTGTTACATCTGTCCAAGGCTCTGCACTTGGCTTATAAAGTACAATAATATCAAGTGAATAACACAATGCCAATACAGACCAGCTGCATTTTTATCCACATAACTCAAACCCTGGCCCAAAGCAGTCTACAGAAGACTATAGAGAAGACAAAAGGCAGTCTGTATTAACAGGCTATTAGGTGTCCACCAGCAGCGAGACTGCTATGGCTGTAGCAGTGTGAAGAAAAACTGCAGCAGGTGTTTAAAAGCATTGCAGTAAACTTGCAGATTACTGTCAAATCTGGGGGCAAGTCTAAGGATCGGAGTCTGAGCATCAAGGATAGGAGGGATAACACGTCATTTTCCCTTAAAGAAAATTAATCCTATGTCTACCCATGCCACATAATAAAAAATACTATCTACAAAAGAGGGTTCGTCCTCCCCATAGCCACACTAGAAAGAGTCAGATAGAAAACTAAAATCAGCCTCCTTCTCAGAATTACAGAAAACAGCATTGAAGGGGATGTCGAGAGGTCACTTTGACAAGTATGGCATTCCAAAATTAATCTCTGTGCAAATAGTTATATCATGGACATTAGGTTATGACAAGGCTGATTCAATATGCTAGATTTTTAGAAAAAGCTATTTGTAAGTCAGTATTTTAGTAATAATTTTAGCAATAAAAAACTACATAGCCAATTCTAGAATCTACACACCATGAGAAATATACACATGTACATGTTCTAAATATATATATATTCTTATAGGTACGCAGAGCAAAACCAAACCAGGGCCTGAATGATCTATCATACATGCTGCCACTTCAGCACGACTTATCCTGCGCAGTTGATGGGCTGCTCAGATCCCTGAGGTCTGTCACCAGAATTGTTACAAGTTTCACTTACCACAATTTTAACCAAAAACTGAGTTAAATCTTGTTGCATCTCTCTAGTTGAAGGGGGAAGGAAGAAAAAAAGAGTGAAACAAACAAAAAGCAGATAATACCACAGCCCTGTAAGACACAGAAAGGCACCTGATAATATCGTTAAGTGTTAGCTGCAATTATCTACAGCATCCTAAGTGTACCTAAGCAATCAATGTGAGTTATAAAAAGCCTACTATATAAATCTAACCTGCCTAAGAATTAACTAAAATTACATGTGCAGCTGTAATTCAGTAAGTGTGCAAAACTACACAGTTTTGCATAAAGTGCTAAACGTACCCCCATTTTGCACCTATTACTATTATATAAGTTTGTTAAGCTTGGAAATACATGGTGAAAAGATGAACTTAAGCATATACTATATCTTTGCCTTTTCTTCCTCACTTTCATCCACTGTTCCTTAAAATGTACATTTTTAAATTACACGAAGGCCTTTTCAGGAACTGTAGTTCAGAAAAATATTTCAAGTATACCTATTTTTTCCATGTAAACTAGAGGATACTACAGGTTTGACTTTCACAAGCTCCTAACACAGCTTTTGCTAATTTCTTTGGACTTGTAATTATTTCAGTCTGCTCAATACCTCTGGAAAAGTCAGGCTGTTTCCTGTTACTCATTTAATCCTCATTTACGAAGCATTGAAATTTATCCTATAGCTTCCCCAGATTTAAGTCTAACAAGAAGCAATTACAGAAAAGCAGAGTAATACACTACCCAATCATTTAGGCTCATAAAACCAAGTCCTACTACATCTATTCATATACTGTATGAATAGATTTATATGAATCATACACAGATCTTTAACACTTGAAGTATTGAATTCAAGTTGTTATAATACAGCAGTTTGTCTCACAGGCATTGTGCAATAAACTTAAAAGTACACATTGGGTCTCTTCTTTACTCTGTATTTCAGTGATCCGTATCGTATCTGAGGAGGAAAAAGAAAGTAGAACTTAAAAGAGGTAAGATCACACCAGGCAGAAATATTAACCTCTCCGCTACTCCTATGTACTAATATCTCTAAGTGTCTTTTAGGCACTCTACAGATTCAGAAGGATCCTCTGCCTACAACTGAATGACATGGATCTTCAACAAAACTGGGCATGAGGGTTAAATCTCAGCTGTTTTCCCAGAATTATCCAAAAGATTTTATGATATTCCATAAGAATTTATTCTGAAACATTATTCTTTAGGTTTGTAACACTTGCAAATACAAAGCACTTTGAATCCCACACACAATCTTCTCCTCAGGGTTACAAGAGTCACAGCAGGTCGTATGTTTATGGAAACTAAAAAACCTGAATTATCTTCAATCTATTAAACAGCAGATGCTTAAATATGGTCAATGAAGACACTCCAAAGCAGGTGACAACACCATTATTTACATCCCATCCAAAGAAAGCCATTTCTGGAATTTGGGATTGACCAGCCCTTAATACTACAAGCATAGAGTCAATTTCATCTCCTCATTCCTGCATCTACATGTAGTTAATTTCATTAATTAACATAATTTCATTAAGCATCCCAAAATACAAAACTCCAAGCCTAGATATGACCCATTAGTTCTTTGTTCATTTAACAGTTATTGTTGATACCCCCTCTAAGTTTAAGAAAAAAGAAAATAATTCAGTTCCCACATTATGAAAATTGCCAGGCTATACTGCTAAAAGTACCCTCAAGTAAAATTATCCTTGCCTCTTTACGTCCTTTAATAGTTTTCACAGATTTCATACTCTGAGTTCTTCGAAGGCCTCTCTGAGCAAACATTTCATCCTCTGAATGTGTTCCTTCTACCTCTTCATCTGTTTTATCATCTGCAGGATTTTTTTCCAGTGGAAAACCTTTAAAAAAGCAGTTACATAAAAACTTAAAAAGTAGCTGTAACTTTTACATTTCTAAGAAAGCCATAAGTTTCATCTTTAACACACATCCTTCATTCATTTAAAAGATGTCATTCTTGCATCTGTTTCAAAAACAAAATATCTAGCGTCCTCCCAGGGGCAGCACATCCTGCCATCTGTAAGTAACAAGCCATTTAGTTCCATAGGCATGTAATGCAGTAGTCCAATAAATGTCAAACCATCACTTAGCTGCCATGTTCTTCTCTACAATGAACCACAAAAATCTCATTCCTCATGTAGAAGTACTTAAGACCTTTTGCAATACTGCTGCTTGAATGCTGTTCTAAGAAAACACACTAACATCAAAATAGACGAAAATCCATCTTTTTGTTTCCAGTTTATATTTTATTTCATGTACATCCTATATTTTTCCAGTCATTAATAATGTGTTGACTAACACAGATGCCAGGACCAAGCAGCTGGACAAGAATAACCCTTTCATATTCTCATAATTCACAACAGATTATGCTGAAAGACACCCACTTTAAAAGCCTCTAAATGGAGCGCCACTAAATGGAGCACCTACTATCCACCATTCTTATTATAAACTACAGAATTGCTGTGTACTTAAGTAAAATTAAGCATAAAAAAAAAAAAAGGCAAACTTCTTAGAGATAAACCACTTTATACATTTCATAATCTACATTGCATTTTACTTGGTTACTCCTTCCTTCACTGTTTGTTTTACTATCTCACAGCAAAGAACAAGCCAGAAGGTTTCCAGCTGCCCAAGTTTACTTTTCTCCTCCCTCCTCATTGCCACTCCCATTAGAAGTTTATATTGTTTTTCCATTTGCAGAGGACTCCCTGTAAACAAACAGATTTGCTGACATTTCTGAGCAGAAGACATGAAGTTTCATGTTTCCTTAGAAGAATTCTTAGCTACTGCAATTTGGGATTAATGTAAAAGATTCAACTCAGGACAAATTCAAAGCAGTCATCAAAATGAGGAAATAATTCTGAGCCTCATGTTATTTCTCACTTTGGAAACATTGTGTAACTGTTCTTCTTGATGATGCTTTTAGTGACGTGTCTTTAATGCCAGAAGAGACATTGAGAGTAAGAGCGCTACATTCTTCACTCAACTCTACACAAACTTTATCAATATGAAATAATTTTGCTTCTTCCCTCAGCCTTCTTGTTCCTTCTGCTCGCTCCCAAGAAACAAACCCTATGCTTTTTACTCCATTTCTCCAATTTACTGCCCAGAGTTTAGTTCACATTTTCTAGAAATTAAAACTAGTTCTAGATTAATACTTTTCTTCATACTTGCATCTATCTATGCACCTTTAACACCAAAATTCATTTCAGATGAGCAGAACGTCAAAGTAGTTAGGGTTACTAAGTAGTTAGTTACAAGGGGTTGTTCAAACCCTGCAAAACTAAGACCAAAGCTATGAACAAACATTTTCACTAGAGGGAGCAAACTGCTTACAAACGTGCGCTGGAAAGATCCTTGCAGTCCAAAAGCCCAGGCACTTCACCACTGACATGTCATAAAGATCCCAAGTGTCACCAGGTCCCCTGGCACAGTCTCTTTTTAGAAAGGCCATTCCATAAGCTACAAGTCGGAACACTTAGGGACATCTTTTAGAGTCCAAACCTGCCTTCATTCATAACCAATAAACATTTCATCTTAAATTAATATTTTCTTAAGCCAAAGTAGATAATTTTCTTTCAATTGTTTCATTTTTTCTTGAAATTAGAATTGAGCTTACCTAACTCCATAGCTAAGCAAGGCATCCCTGCTTCTTCTGCTGTAATAGAGGCAAACCTGTCACTGCCTCTGATAGAGTTTCATATCTTAAGCATGGAAAAATTGAATCATACCTCTTACTTACCAGAGATGCTTGTAGTGGCATGAATGCTTCCCTATCTCTATTTGTAACACCTCTTCTGATCAATCAAAATTATATTTGCCTTCTTAACAAAAACTGTACTGGCAGCTCAGCTATTGTATGGTCAGGGCCCTTCTACATCTGGGTCTAATTGGTTTGTAAAGGAACTCCCAGTGCAAATAATAAAAAAATAACATTCTGCTACGTAGCATTTTTCTTTGTTTGTATAAAACCCTAATGCTGAAAAAGTTTCAAAGAAAACTGAAAAGGTGCACACCATATTTGGGCCCAGAAATAGAAATAGTTAAACTAGCTCTAAGAAAACATTTTCACATGTGATACTGAATCTCACAATCTGATTATTTACACAGTATAACCTGTGGGCAAAACTGAATTTTCAGCATTTTCAAGCTGCTTTAGGGAAATAACTAATGGCCTGTTCCCAAGGAACAGCCTCCCCTGCACAACAGCTGCAGTGACATCATCCCTAACAAAACTCCTGATGAATTCACAGGCTTTTTCCCTGGCCAGTATTTTACACTGACTATCACAGAATACCTTCTGGGCTCAATTAGCAATTCAGCTTAAGGCCATTCACTCCTCAGAAATGCTGGGAGCTACCATGTGATTCCTGGAATGCTTTGCTGTCCACAACCACCACTTCTTCAGAATGGAGAGGTGAAGAGACAGACTTAAGAAAAAATAAAATAAAATAAAATAAAATAGACCAGAGCTGTTTCTTTTGTGAGAAATGTCAAACTTTTTTCATTCTAGCCTCTCCAGTCAAAGAAAATAGTGGACAGTCTCTAGGAAGCCTTTTATCAAGCAGCATAGACTCAGGAATACAGTGCATTAATAATAAAGGATCTCTGCAAAAGTATTTCAGTCACTGCACACCATCTTCAGAATGCTGATGTGCACCACCACATTGACTATTTAATGCCTTTGTAATTCCAATCACCACACGATTTTACATTGTGACCAGAACTATCAGTGCAGTCCTACTGAATTCACTGCAATTTATTTTCTCTTCCCGTTTATTGAGCTTCCATAAATTTTCATGTTTAATTTTAGTACATTGTCACAGAAACACCACTTAATCACCCCTTTTTTTTAAAAAAAAAAAAAAAAAAAAAGCTTCCAATTCAGCTTTAATCTGGCATATAACTATTGTTGCTAACTAACAGAGAGAAGAGAAATGAGTATGGTGTGAGTATATTGTTAGCAGCTGGGAGAAAATCTCTGCTGGGGGGCACAACTCGTTAATGCTGCAATAGATCTTGCTCACATCAATTCTGTTCTAATGTTTAGGAGTCTCTTATAATTCTTTCAATTTCTGAATAAGGTAAATATACAGCTGTTCTTTCCAATTTTTGTCTGCTATATATTGCTTTTTCCTTATAAAAGAAAGTTCTTTTATTTTAGATGGGTACTTACCTGCAGATTCATTTGCAGAGGCTCTGGTTTTCTTTTTTGTTTCAGGCAGTGTCTGATAGGGTCTCTGGCCTACTGGTTCATCTCCTTGTATAGTAGTCAAATCATGCATACTGAAACTTCTCAGTTTCTCTGTTATTGCACCCTGACTCTGAAACACAAGAACAGTATATTTGAAATCAAAGCAGAGGTTTTACCTTTGCTGTTAAAGTTGGCTTAAGATGGTTAAGCCCATGCTTCCTCATATCACAAAATTCACTGAATGTAAGCATGCAATAGGTCTACATTTGCTTTAAGCATTTCTTTTACCCCGTTTAACTCTATGTTAATCTTAAAGGAAAAAGTTGCAGATAAGCTACTGGCTTCATTACAAGTGTTTCATTTTACTCTCTTTATTTTAGGGAATTAAGGCTTTTTGAGTGTGGGCAAGTGCCTAAAAGAACAAAATCCATCAGAAATGCTCAATTCACTTCAAACATGACGTTTCTCCAGCAGCATTAGGTAGCACGACAGTGGGTTTAACACTTTCATTTTTAAAAGTGTGGTTGAAGATAAAGATTTCTGCTATTTTATATTTTATCCTCACAAATTTTACATACACAAGAAAGCAGGAAAAAAGTGTTAAAAATACATTTTAAAGCATTAACTTAAGTAACTGAGCAGCATCTCAGAGCTGTAAGTGACAGAAATATGAGATCACAAACCAAAGAAGTCGTGCCTGGCTGTACAGGCTAACAGGTTCTGCTACTGATGTATCTTCACTGACTTAATGCCAGCCCTAAAACTAAGGCTACATTTGAGAGTTGTTTACCACGTCTGAGTGTTAGTATTTCTTCTCTTATCGCTTTTGTCTTCATCTTTCCTTTTACATGGAAGATACAGAAAGATCTCCTTTGGAAAGAATGATTATCAAGCAGCTCTTTTATCTTATATCAAATGATTCCATAACACTGATGATGATTTTCTTATCTAAGCAGCTAAAAGGACAAGCATGTTACTTGACCATGTTAAAACACCATTTAGTTCTCAGGCATACAAGGCAAAGAAAAACAAGTCACACAGTTTCAGAGGATGGTTGACCAGCCTACACGACGAGTCCCATCCTGAACAAGAGATTAAGATTGTTCAGTCCTGCAAATCAAGCTGTTAAATAGAAATACTCAATGGAGCAGTAGCAAATATCTGGGTACAGTTCCGCACAATCTTCTCAGCAACAACATAAAGCAAAAGCAGTTCTTGCACCCATAGCCCCAGCCATTTGTTCCCACTCTCATGCCAACAACTGCTTGTAGGCCAGCACGCTAGATTGTTTCATGTTAAAAATAACTACTTAAAGCGAAGAGACAGAGAAGCAATACTCCTTAAGGTGGCATGCCCTCCAAAGGAAGGGAGAACATGCAGCTGAAACCTAATATTCATTTTGTAATAGCTCATCACTAGTGCAAAGTGTAAAACTAAGTGTCCTACACAGACAGGTATAACTGATTTAATTCTTAGAACACCACTCATATGCTGCAAATGAACAATACAAAGGACTCTCATGATGGAAGTAGAACTTTTGCTTTTCTAGCTCTTCCTACTGACAATTCTCAAGCTGACAACGACAGCTTGCTTTCAAGTTAAAACTCACTACTGGTGCTGTAGAGTCTGTGTATAATCTATGTTATGTGTTCTGAAGTTATTTTCATTTTCTAAAATAGCAGGTCTGTCACTTGAACAGGAATCATGCCTTTCTACTACTCCAGTGCTTTCACCAAGAAGTATTTGAACAGTGAACTGGATCACAAATCTGCTATGCACGAGAACTGCTGGGCAGCTATAAGGACACAAGAAACGAAGAGACAGGACTGCTTCTTCTGACACAGCAACAGCTTACAGAATCTGCTGCAACACATACAGCAGCTCATCAGTGTGCCCACTGCCCATGTTCAGCCTCAGTAAACAGACATGAAATGAAACCAGACAGTTCTCAGCAGAATCTGCATTAAGTTCAGCACAACTCCTTTGAAATCTGGACAGAATCCACTGTGACAGTGACAAATTCTTGGTTTGGCCCTAAGTAAAAATGCAGGAAGAGACACACCTGCTTAAAAGTTGCAAAGTGAGTTCACTCATCATGTGATATAGTACAACACAGTAGCCATTTGGAAAGTACGTAGGATTATGCAATTAAGATTATAGTAATTAACATGCTAAGAATTCAAATTACAAGCCCTGATTTATTATTTCTCATGGGAGATAGACAGGACTAGATCCCAGCTGGGAAAAATCCAACCTTGTTTTTCAGTGCAGATTTGGACGCAAGCATTTTCATTTTTAAAGGAGAAAAAAAAGTCAAACAGTATGCCCTAAAACAACTTAGTGCCCTAAAGCAAACAGCAGAGTTGATGTGTCCAGAGCTCCCGGGGAAGCACGGCCTCACTGAATGAGGATGCAATGGATTCATACATCAGGTCCTTCATTGCAACAGCACTTATCAAGATGTGAAGCTTCACTCCAAGGTGTACAGCAAGTATTAAGAACTGTGGAAAAACAATTAAAAGAAACAGCACGTGCCTGAATCACAGCAGGAACAGGGCTGCTGCTGTGCTGCACAGTCACAGCCACACACCAAACGATTCTGTACTTCCTACCATCCCACCAGTCTCCTACTGCCTGGAAGCAATCTCCAGTCACCCAAGAGCCCAGCCAGTCCAGCCAACTGAGGATCACCACCTACTCCATATCACTGCAAAGTGAAAAGGGTGCGTGCATTGTTATTCTGTGAACGTGTTTTGGTTTTATGGGGAATTGTTGTTTTTTGTTTTTTGTTTTTTAGTTTGTTTGGATTTCGGGTGACTTAATCTTTTTTTTTTTTTTTTTTTTTTTTCCTCCTTGTGCTGTTGTACTATGTTATTTGTTAAAGTGCTCATATGGCATTTAAGTTTCAGGAAGATTCTTCCACCACCCATGCTCAAAAGAAACAAATAATTGCTTTTTGCAGAAAGTAGGTGGTTTAAGAAGATCTGTATTATTTCCAGCTAAAAAACAATATCTGCCTGAGAAATATTAAATACCTTCTATTATGAGAAATGTGAGAGCAACACTGACAGTTGAATTTTTAACACATTAGGAGCTTTGAAAGCAAGGTCTATGTTCACAGAACAGATGACAGGGCAGTCCAGCTGCAAGCAGGGCTGGAGGGAGACCTCCTGCATGAAAACTCGCAGCATTGGCAGCAGCAGCAGCAGCAGCAGCAAGCACTTCTGCTCAGCCATACCCTCAGTGCTGCTGCTCCCAAGGAGACAGGAGAGGAGCTGCCACCCCTGCCTGGTTCTGGGCCAGGCTCTGTGTCAGAGTCAGTCCCATTATTTCAAGGGTTCATGCTGGAAAGGAGGAAAAACTGTGGGCTGCATCCAGCCCAGCAGTTGCCAACTAGATCACATCACGATGGGAGACCAGCACACATGCAGCATAGGCAGAAGCGCACAGGAAACCTTCAATTTTTATGTAAGTGAACGTTAAACAGAGATTAACTGCAAAATTTGTGTAGCCTTAAAAAGCAGGACTTGGAAAACATGTCTGCTTATTTATTCAACAGTATTTATTTCCTAAGACATATTAAACCTTTTTTAGAGGCTGCAGTCATTACCAGGAACCAATCTTAAGCATTAACTTGTAGCAGGTTTCTAAATTTAGTTTTTGCTAAAGATAACCTACTTCATGGACTGCTTTTTGGGACTATTCAGATTCCAGCAAGCTATTAATGCACAATCTCACCAGCTGACTCTCGTATATGAAATTCCCTTCTCGGTTTTGCCACACGGTTTTTATACACTTAACCCAGAAAAGCCGCTGTAAACAGATACCACGCTGTATTATCTGCCTCAGGACTTTTTTTTGTTGTTTAAATTGGACTTGCACCCCATCAGTGGTAACCATCTCTGAACAAAGCTGCTTGGCTTCACTGGACAAGTTCTCAGTAGATGGTGCATTTAGAGTTGCTTGGAGCCCTGTGACTGCAAAGCCATGGTGTGCAGCACCCACATTCCCAGCTGTTCTGTCCCAGATCTGACCCAGGCTGATGGAGTACAACTTCTGTTCCCTCTCAACCTGCAGAGGGGCTGCTGTCCTGTGGATGACCTCTGCATTGTGCCAGGGAGCAGCAGCAGGGAGGAGGGATGAACGCAGTAAGGCTGGTGAGCTGAGCTGCTAATAGTGATACTGGCTGGGTGCCACAACTGACTGCAGGATACCTTCCTGCATCATGCACTAGGCAGGAAGAAGAGGAAGCTTCAGCGAGGCCAAGAGAAAACAGAAAAGGCAGCAGATTTCTTTTTTTAAAAAACAAACAAACAAACAAACAAAAAACAATATTTGTTTGACTTATGTTAACATAAGTACACTTCAGAGCTTAATAGCAATCGTGCTGGTGGTGACAAAGAAGCCAGCATTCCCTTGTAGCCCAAGAAGTCAGAACATACGTGTGGGCAAAAACTGGAAAGTACAGTTAAAATTGCACCTCCAAGATGTGGAAAGCAGATGCACCAAAATATAATTACTGGTGGAACTTCAGTTATAGACAATTCCAAAAAAGCTATATAAAATGGAGTTGAAACTGCCCTAATCATATGAAACTTTCATATGATTAAATTCATCTTTTGCTGATTCTTTTATACCTTTAAAGTGTTTTGGGGGTGTTTTTTTAATTAGTGAACTGTAAAAATTCAGTCTAGAGCATTCTTCATCTTAAAGTATTCCAAAATAAGGATTTTTCGAAGAGTTTTATTCTCAAATTAACTGGACAGTAACAATGCACTTTTCTAATGTATGACATTTAGCAGCTTTTGACACTCTGCATTGGAGCTGGAGTACATCAACAAATACAGTTAGGGCAAGTAAATCAAATAAACACACTTCCTTATCAACTGCTTACGAGAAATAGCAGCTTTACAGTCAGCTTATGTTGTCTGGACACGAACTTCACGTGGACAGTGGCTAACAAGTACCAGCTAAAAATATCAGTATAGGAATCTAAACTGTAAGCCACAACTCCTGCCAACTGCAGTTTAACTTTACAGCTCAGCAGGCTTAAATCTAGGTCACAGTTCAGCAGACTGATCTGTCTGCTTCAGCTTCCTTCGAACAGCTAATCGAGCATTTAATATTAAATCCATTCTCCTTTGACAGTCCTTGGAGAAACCGCTCTTTCCCACTTTCGTTCTTGAAAACATTCCATAGAGTTTCCAGGGAATTTTACTCAAGTCCAAACAAACTTACTACAGTCAGAGAAAGCAGAGATCCTAGCATCATTCACCTGAATGCTTTACTAAGCAGCTTCCTTCAGACCTTCTCTTGTCTTTAACCTCCCACATTCTCTGCCCCTAATTTGAGAACCAACATTGAGATCCAACGTGTCAGAATAAGCATGCTTGCTCCCTTAAAAAAAAAAAAGTGATGAAAGTCCATCTCCTTTCCATCAAAACTGATCCCACTAATACACTGCAGAATTCCATCCCTGAAATCCTATAGCATGCTCCACCAGCTCATGCTGAAGGGATAATCTTCCCACCTGCTGGAGGCAGCAGTCAACTCTTCAAAAATAGGGAACAAAATCAAGAACACATGCATTGTCTCCATTTGTCTGCATGGAGTAATCATGCTCAGCTTTTTGGAATGACAAACTGCACAGAGGTTTGACATGCCAAAATAAAGATTTTCAGAGGGTCTCTTCTTTCATGCTGCTTAAATCATATCTATTTTAGGTCTTAGATATTGTGGTTGTTTTACCCAAACTTCTCATCTGCACTGAAGTAATTCTGTACGAGTGGTCATGAGCATGTTGGATACGTTTTAACAAATGGAGCAGGCATCCTGCCAGCTACAGCTGAATAGCAACATAATCCAAACACGGATGACATTTAGGCAGAAGTTACTCATACTTCAGAAGAAACTGGGAGGAGATGTGTGTGTCATTTATTTTATAGTATTTCTGTAGCACCATAAGCATCAACAAGGAAATATCCAGTCTTCACCAGACAGACATACATAGGGAAAATACACAGAGTGTAAGCATCATTACAGGTGTCCGATATGCTAAGTTATGGTTGCTGTTCAGCAAAGAATTTGCATTTTTAGCATTTTAAATAGCACAGTTCTTAGAACTTTTTCCCAGCAGAATATTTCCAAGTTAGATTTGTTGTCACTGTTTTTGTTTGGTTGGTTTGCTTTGTTTTAAACAGCCTACTTTCATTCTGGAAATGTTCATTCTAGAAGTGTACTCTATTTCATTCTACATCATGGCAATACTAAGAATTCCAGTCCCAAAAAAAGAATCAGTGGTCAAACTGAACCACGCTTTGAGCATGTGAGGTTCATTGTGTCCATACTGTAAAACTGTTCTTTTTAAGCTGCCACCCACATACATATTCAAAAAGAGAAAGGGAACAAACAAGGTACGCATGGCTCTTTTTCCAGTCCTTTTCGAGATACAGTTTGAAAATGCAGTCCTCAAAAAATGCCTCATTTAGAAAACAAGTTTGCATAAAAGCATGGAAATTAAATGCTAGCTGTACATCCTTAATTGTGGCTGCCTAGGACCACCACCACCATAGTACTTTTTGTCATGTATTAACAGTTCTCAAGTTTTCAGTCCCATTACAATGAACACAGCAGTTCCATTTATTCCCCAGAGGAAATTAATCCCAATGGCCTCAAAACTATAATTTACCTCAGATACACACATCTTTCTTACAATACTTCTTTGTGCTTTTCTTTAAATGGATACACATAGCAAAAAAGTCAACTTGCTAGTCAGTTCTACTTCCTTTTGGTGGCCCTTCAAGTTGCTCAGAAGTAACTTAAGAGCTTACATTTTATTTTGTTAGACCCAGAATCCTTTGAAATTCGTCTGAAGGTCACGAGGTTTGTTGGAACTTGGATCCAGAACAACCACAGGTTGCTTACTACATGACTTAACCAAAATTAAATAAAGTAAAACAATGCTAAGCAGCAATATGCAAGCCTATGCTTAGTGCATTAATTTAATAATTTAATCAACTAGTTGCAAACAAGTTAATTGTGTCAAGAAACTTATCTGTGGTAGTAATCTTTCATGCCTTACTTCAAATATGCAATTACCTCAAGTTGATTGGAGAAAAACAGCAGAAAGAAGCCAGAAATCCTTTAAATAGTTTGTTTACCAACAAGAAAGCACAACAGAGACAGAAAAGAAACAATGGTCATGTTTACCAAAAGCCTGTATAGAAAAATGCATGGTATCTTCTGAATTACAGTAATTGGATCCCCACCATTTGAAAAAATAAATAGAAGTCATCTTAAACAAGCACAGTATGAAGCCCTTGGATTGTGTTCCAGGCTCTCCAAACATTTGCAGAGTTAAAACTTTTTATGTAGGAATGTATAAGCCTGAATATCACATCATACCATTCAACAAGTATATCAAGGACAAAGGCAATCAGTGTAAGCAGGTTACCTTCACAGCTGCTGTCACTGCAGCGGTTGCTGCCAAATTCAACCCCTGTCTTCCAAAATTCACCATGGTCTCATAGCCTCTTTCTTTGGCTTGTACAATGTACTCATCAATCTCCTAAAGCAAAGCGTATTTCAGTATTAAAAGGCTGTGTGTATGAGAATCCCATTTCCCCACAGTAATATTTTTCTTCAAATAAAGATGACAGAAGAAGTCTTGAAGGAAATATTTAATGGAACAATTACTCTTAGCTTTGTATACCAATCTTCCATTCATTTAAAAAAGGATCAAGTCTGGTCAAACAAGAAGATAAAACAGAAGACTTTTATCCCGCTCAGAAATCTTGCAGCTACAAAAGTGTCTAGAAGGGAGCAAGCTTAAATTGCCAGCCAAATGCTATATAAGGTAAACAACACTCTTAAGATGAGATTAATTCGTTAGAAAGGTAGAGCCACCTCACAAAATACTTCAGAGACCAGAGCTCTGACACAGGTAAGTATCAAGGACTGTAAAGCCAGGACACTTATTTCCAGCTGTGGTAAATGGCTAGGGTTGGAGGTAAAGGCTTCAAGGTAATACACAATAGATAGCAGACTAGGGAAAAAATACCTTTATGTTACGAAGTTACATAGATCTGCAGTTCAACCTTCCTAAGGCCAAGATGACATCATTCAAATCATGTCAACTGCCTGTTCGGCCTAGTAAAGGCCAAACCCTGTCCTGACCTATTGCACTGACTGCTTATGCTCCACATGGCAAGGTTTAGCAGCAGTAGTCTTCACAAATTACTCTTTCCGCACATCCAAATACAATACTAAAAAAGAATTAAGCAGATCTGGGGTTTTTATACTTTGGATAAAGCTAAATAGCTAAATATTCTTTCAGCTATGTTCTGTTTGCATACTTTTTTTTGTTTGTTTGTTTTGTTTTTTGTTTTTTGTTTTTTTTCAGACCGGTCCCTTAGAATTCAGTAGAAAGTCTATTTTCGTATCCTTTTCACTTTGCGAACCAGAAAAGTCACCTATATAATTCATTCTGAGAAGTCCTAATTGTAGGATATGCTAGAAAAAATGATGACATGAAGAGCTGTTGCTAAAACTGTACTTTTGCTTCTATCCGTACCCTTCCAGCAGAATAATTGACTGCATCACTTCCACTCAGCTGGACTACCAAAGGTATGCTAGGTAGACCAGAAAACACTATGCTAACTCACGTCAGTACAAAGTCTCAGACTGTAAATTAAATGGAAACAAGAATATAGACAGTCATGTGCACTTTTCTAGTCCAAGTTCATGCTGCTTGCTGAGCCAGTAACGCACTGATCTGCTTTTATGACTTGTTTAGCAATGGTTAGTATTTCAGCATATAGTATTTCCATATTAGGCATTAAAAATGAGAAGTTATTCCTTACCCTTTCTTTAGAAGAAAGAAGAGGGTGGAGAAATTTCCTGTACATTAAACTCGCCCCTCTGGTATATGGAGAAAGGAGCCAAATAACAAAAGCAATTTTCAGCTCATAATACAGTGGAAACCTAAAGACAAGTTGAAAGTCGCATGAAATTAACAACAGGAATAAAGACACAAGCATTAATTAAATCAAGAAGGTATCTCCAAACAACTGTATGTTAGCATTTAATGTTCTACACATGCAATAAGTCAGAAATTAAACAATTTATAGACGTATTGATTTATTTTCTGAAATTAACACATCATCACATGCAAAAAACAGAAACAAGTAACACAGTTGCTTTGCGTTTCAAAATCCTAAACAAAAAAGTCAACCTACGCTTCCAAGCATTTCATTCTGCTATTCAGCTTCTACAGCAAAGGTAGATGCTTTGTAGTGTCCACCTTGAGCAGCACTGTACAAGCTTGGAAACATAATCCCAGAAATCTTCTAGCAGGGTAAAGAGAATTATACCCTCTACAAGGGCAGCCTCTTTTATAGAGGTACATCACTACAAAGCATGTGAGAATCAAATATCATTGCATCCATTGTTTGTAGAAAGCATGCTCTTACCAAGAGATTGTTAGATCAGTTATTGTTTCAGTAACTGTATAAAGAGCAAATACAATCCAATACATCATCCAGCGAACCTGAAAATTAAAACACCACCATCAGTAAGAATTTATTTCATTTTTCTTTCCTTTACATAGAATACACGATACATTTAACAGTCCATCAGTTCAAATCTGTCAAAGCAAGAATTTCAACAGCATCTCCTTCTGGCTTCAGTTGAAATTATAGAAAGGCCCTGAAGGTTTTGTTTGTAAAAACTGGTGGCGGCAGCCATGAGCTAGATGAAATACCTGGGTCACCAGGGTCACCACCTCACTTAGAGGCAGAATCAAGTCCATGAAGCCAGTCTAATAAGCTTTAATGATGAGGAAAAAGAAAAAACAACACTGTAAGGAGTCAGTAGATTATCATAAGCATGAAGCTCAACTCCCAGTACAGCACTAAGGAGTATTTCACTCATCTGTTTGTTTCCAGCACAGTCAAAATTTTCAGCGTTAGTAAGTCAGTAGACCTTACTTTCACTTCACAACATATTTTATTCAGCTATACTTTGCATTTAGGTTCTCCATATGTACTTGTCATTATGGTACTGACACTGGAGCAAGGCAGAACAAAAGCATTTTCATGCAAGTTGGATGCTATTCACATGCCAAGAACCACAAAATCTGTGCTAACAAAAGAGCCCACCTCAATGCTTCAGAGTTTATTTGTATTTGTGTGCGTGGAGGTTTTGTTGGTTTGGCTTGGAGGGGGGGGTGGGATTGTTTCGGGTTTTGTTTTTTTGTTGTTGCTTTAAGATTTACACTATACATCACTCTCTTGGAATCAGACAATGCTCTTAAAAAAAAAAAAAAAACACCTCAAACCTGTATTTTAGTAGTTAATTACATCTCTAATTTCCTTGAACATCTGTTCAGGCTTTTTTTTTCTAGACAGATTATGTCTCTCAGAAAAAATACTACAGAAGTAGTTCCATGCATGTCTTCTCTAAATCATCAGTGGCCAAGCATAACATATTTCCAAAATAGGTCAGTGCTAATCAGAAACAACTGAACAAGCAGTGCTTAACTGAACACCCACGTTCTTTACATTCTAGCGCCATCCATGCTTTAAAAAAAAAAAAAATAATTAGCAACTGCTGCTACCAGATGCAGTAAATTCATTTCAGGTCTTAAATTCATGTTAGTCTCTTTCAAAAGCAGCAGTATACATAGTTTCCCACAAAGCATGTAGCTCAGATTTGATCTATACATTTTTTTGAAGTGGACTTCAGTAAGTCTTAAAACCTCACGCTATGCTGCTGCCTTTTCCATAACTGTGCATTAAGCTTTGAAACTTCTTCCTTTGTCATGAGACCTATTTATCTTAAATACTTTTCTGCGTTTCAGTTTGAAAAGAAACTCAGTCATGTGATGACACTTCAGTCTCTCAGAGGATTTAAATATTTCAGGCTTGACTAAGCTAAGACAAACGTACACAACAGCTGAAGTCATCTCTGACAGGCCATGTGACATTTAGACTGGTGACCCTTCCATGAACCAGAGTCAACACCTGAATAAAAATAAAGTTAACATCTATCCTTGCTCCAATTTTGCATGTTTAAAATGCCACTCAGTACTGACTTTTTCCCACATATTTTTCCCAGGCTATTCATTATTTAATCAACATCTATTTATCCAATTAGGAACATTAGAAGGTGAGTTTCTCTCCAGATGCTGTGAAGAGAAGCGAGCGCTCCGCAGAAGGGCACATGACATCTGCCAGGAGTCCTGCTGCTGCTAGGGCAAAGATTCTCAAGGAGGTCAAATTATATCCCAACTGAACTAATGCACTGGGTACAAAAAATATCCCTGAAGAGTGAACCCATGCAATTCAATGGCTTCCATACCAGAAACATAAGGAAAAACAAAAGGTGATATTCAATGTTTTGATGCTGCCCTACAGACCATTACCAACTCAACTTTTCAAGATAAAAGCTTCAGAAGCTTTGATTAGGTTTTGCTTTTTATGTTAAAAGGGCAACTGCAGATTTATTTTGTCAGGCTTTTATTTCTACTGAGTGTTAAGCTCATTTTTGTTGGCTTCAGCTGAAGCACACAAAGCCTTTCAAGTCAGAATTTTGAAGCCAAGTTGAGAAGTCTGGTTGTTCAGACTTCTAAACTATATTTCAGATGATTATTACAGGCACTTTGGTGCAATACACTGAAAAAACTCCTTAAAGATCTTCAATCATTCCATTAAACCAGGGTAATTAAAAGAACAAATAATTCTCCTCAAAGGAAAAGATCTTAATTTCTAGAACCTAAAGTCCACGCATGCCTTACATTATCAAAAACAGAAGCAATAACCCGTCACTTCTTCAGAAATTATCTGTGCACATTTTGCACCATCCTGGCCTATGCAGTATGTCAAGATACCATTAAAGAAAACAACAGAACAAAACCAAAAACCGGGCAGAAGCAGTGGCTATGTCCAAAATGTCACTGGTATGAAGCTCCTGAAATCCTGTAAACAGAAACAGATGGTCCTGAGCCACACATAGCCCTGGTAAGGAAGCTGGGCTTGGGCCATAACATGACTGGCAGCAGAGCTGGCCATGTGGAACGCTGCGATAACCTACACTCTCTCTGAAGAAAATGACCCAGATGGGAAGATGAAACATGGATCATTCCCAAGATCTATCAGGACATTTATCCCAACTTGCAATGCTGTGGTAACTCACTGAGGAATCACTGTCATTCCCTAGCTGTGAAAAAGTCTTAGAGCTGCACTGAAAAATTAAAGAAGGCTTAGAAACAATGTGATGTTTCTTATTCATCTCAGTCTGGGGAACATTGTGGATGCACCTGCAGATGCAGAGACCGGTCAAAGATCACAGCTGATTGAAAAACCAAATTGAATAAAATTTGAAACAATTGGAAACATTACAATTCCAGGCTCTACTAAAGGTCTGGTGTGACAGGCATCTCAAAAAAGAAAAGTCTCTGCTACTTGGACAGTTGAGCAAGAATCTTAGTGTCATAGTATTTCTTTTTTTTTTTTTTTTTTTTTTTTTTTTTAGAAAACATATACTTAATCACTTCTTAAGATTATTTCTTGCATTAGAATTGGCAACTGCCATCCTCTATTAACACTATAGATGCCTTTTGAGAGAGCAAGGAGGAAAACTGGATTTATGTTCTTTGCATTATGTACTTCCTGACAGGTAAAGAAAGAACAGTACAGAGGAAGTTCCCTTACTTTTGACAATTTTTCCTCCTAGAAGCTCACCTGTGGCAGGCATTAGCTCTATATGCACAAATAAGGTGTGGTTTCCGTGTATAAGCTGATTAGAAGTATGAACACAAGGTCCACTTTGAAGCCTTGATGATGCAGCCAAGCTAAATGCAAGACATACAAGAGGAGGAACAACAGCTACCACATTCTGATGCTGCAGCAAAGTACAGAGCAGCACCATTAAACACCCAGACAGCAGCATTAAGCCACAGCTACAACTGCCAAATTAAAATGCCAACAGCACTGACTATCCTAAGTCAAGGAGCCAAGTTGAAGTGCAATAAGTGAGTTGCTAAAATCAAGTTTGGCTGTCTCTTAAAATAGGCAAGTAATTCAGTGACCAAAGCTTCTCACAACTGCATGTCATTTTTACAATAATTATCACTGCTCACTTTGAAACATAAACAGATGGATTCTGAACCACATAAATGTCTCTCCCCATAGAATCATAGTTTGGGTTATGTTGGCTTGCTTTGCTCTTCTTCACCATCTTAATCAGATCTTCTCCCTCCCTGGTTACATTTGTCCTCATCTTTGAAGAGCTATCCCTTTTCTCGGGTTGAATATCCTCTTGATCTCCATGCAACAGTTAAACCACTACTACTACTACTGACATGGTCACCAAGAAGTAAATCTGTCACAGCTTACCCACAGGTGTTGGCAGAATTCAGAAACTTCCTTCCGTCCTCTCTGTCCAGAATTGCATTATTTCAGATACTTAACTGAAATACAGCTAACATAAATCTTATATTTTAAAATCCTCCTGTTCTTTACGCAGCACAGTATGTTGGATACATTCCAATATGAAAAGTTTCAGAATCTAAGCTTTATCGTTCAAAACAAAAAACATAGCACTGCCACTACATTCACACAGGTTTTATATCTACTGCCAATATGATCAAACCAAACTTCCATATAATTTATTGCACTACATAATGAAAATGTCTGTTTTATCTCAGCAGAGGCATCTAATTAATTAAACAATTAAAAGCAGCGTGACTTACATATTCCTTCACATTTTTTGTCTTCACAGCTTTGTACGAGTAATATGCAGGATACAGCATCCCGAACACCAGCCTATCAGAAAATAAGAAGAGTTTTCAGAGTTAGTTGTACCACACACAGCAAAGCAGTAACAATACATCACCAGAGCAATCCAACTAACTTATTAACATTCTCTGGTTTGAAACAAACAAACAAACAAAAAAAAACAACCAAAAACGGTGTTACAGTTTGCTTGAAGGTAGTCCTGCAATATGTAAGAATAAAAAAGCACTTGTAACAAAATGAGTTCTGCTATTTGAGTTTGTTTTGCTAGAACTTTTCAAAACCAACATGTGGACATAAAGACAAGTGGGAATTAATTCAGTTTTGCTTAGACAGCCAGTTTCTACTAAAGTTCCTCAGAGTGCAGAGCAGAGTGAAAGGGTGCTCTCCAACCACGGTGAGAGCAGGATCAGAAGAAAAGATCTGCTGTAACAGAAGTTTGTTATTACACAGTGGTTTTACTAAAAATATTGCCCACAAACTGGAGGAACTGTTCTTTATGATAAATTGAACAGCAGGAGTTGCCATTTCCTTGAAAGAGCTCTGCACCCTCTTTCACCCACTTATCACGCTGTGCAAAGCCAGGCACCTGCCCACCCTAACTACCAACCGCCTAAAGCAGCTACAGCAAAGTCTGCAACACCACTGCAACACTGCTTACCAATTGCTGAGGATGGTTACGTGTGGGAGAAATTCACCCTTCCAGGGATACCCAGCCAGCTCCTAAGCAAGCTCAGAACTTAAACTTCTTAAAGCCGTGCAAAGAAAGACGCGCATCACATAGTATCTTAAAGGGCCCATCTGAGTGATGTACATCTTACATTCAAATGGTCAACATCTACCAAAGTAAATAATCAACTAATATGAACTAATATGTAAATTATAAATTATTAAAAATATTGTAGCTTTAAATAACTGGTAATACTAGGAGTACAAAACAGAAAGTAGCAGTTCGTGATTGTTTGTTTGTTTGTTAGTTTTTTAAATGGAAAAAGCCCCGAAGCCTTTACCTTCTTCAGCACACTAACAGCAAAGACTGCCACAGCTTTCCCAGTATACAGGGCATATGGTTGGGAGTTTGATGCACTTGATTTTGGGTCAAAACACCCTAAATGTTTTTTTTTTTTTTTTCCTTCTGACTAAGAGAAGATCCTGACAACATCAGTTCAAAAAATCCTTGGTGTACTCCAACATGAGATATGGAAGCAGAAGGAATACTAGACCTGACACCCTTCATTTGGATCAACTCCTGCAGAGGAGAGCTCTTTCTCTCTTCTTTGTCCCTGTGGAATACTCCATTCAGCAACCCATCAGCTCTGATGGCGCTCACCTTTCCTGCTCCTTAGGGCTGAGACTAGAACCATTGAACACCACCGATAAAGGAAAGCCTCATTAATTCAGTAATTGTAACTGTGACTTCATAAGCATGGAAATTTCTTCCTACAGTAAGGACACAAAAGAGGTCTGCGAACATCATAACCACTGCTAACTGTCAGATGGCTTCATAATTACATGCCAGTGATTACTGGTCACTGAAGCACCTCACAATTGTCAAAAATAGTCCAAAGCTATTCATATGGCTGTTTGCAGACTGTACATGCAAGTTTCTTCCTGCAAAGCATACAAAAGAGAAACAGACCCCTTACTGAATAGACCTTTGGTCTGCAGTTTTCCATTTAATCTACTGTCAATTAACACTGCTGTTATTTTAAAAGCTTAGCTTTAAATTCAAACAGCAACTTTTTCCAATCATCCTCATCATGAGTAACATCCTCAAAAGTTTGTTAGATCATCCGATATAACACAACTTCTTTTTGAGAGCACTGCTTTGGGAACAACTGTTCTTGAAGTAGCAGTCAGAAGATCACAAAGCTCAGCCACAGAACACCTCCAGTGAAAAAAACAGAATGGCACCCAGCACAACACAAATGTGACCAAGACAGCTTGTTTTCCCCAACTAGCAGATCTTTATTCCAGCAAATCAAGCTTTGCCCTCACTCTGTAAATCACAAATTAGCGCAGAGCCAAGGGTAAGGCTGCTCACTGCAGCTGACTGAAGACAGAGGCAGAGATCTGCAGAATGGCAGAAGGGAGCTGGGTACAATCCACACTACTGACAAAGCTACACTGACAGCAGAGCATTTCCTGTTCACACCAACACCCCAAACACCTCAGAGTTGTTAGCAGTACCTACTGTCACACATTATAAGCACATTCTTCCGCTGCTATTTTTACAGTAACTATACAATGCATTTGAAGGTTGCAGTGACTAGCCCAAAGCTTTTCAAACATAAAAGATTGAGTGTTATTTTTAAAACCTACTTTGTACTTCATGGCATACATTAGCACACTGCACTAATGTAGCAGACAAGAACAAAGCCAGCTTCCACAGATGGAAACAGATTTCAGCCGAACGTGATGTCATTTGCTTTATTTCTCCAGTAGATCTAGGGGTAATCCTGCTTACCAATGTGATTTCTCTGCCAATCGTACACCTAACTCTTGCTGTTTCCCAGCTGCACTCAGCAGTTAGTGCAGCACTCCTCCTTCGGTACAGCCACCTCCTCCATAGACATTCTGCTCACTCCAAGAGAGATCTTTCTTAAACATATTACGAGATGGAAATCAAAACACAAACTAGAAAAAAACCACCAATCCAAAAAGGACCAGCAAAGCCTCGAAAACCCAGAACAATGCATTTGTGTATCAATATAACTATCAAAACACACATGACTTGTATTATCACATAATCAACAGTCCTACACTTTAAATAGCATTACCACACACAACTATTAGAAACAGTAATTTCTGAAGGGAAGCAGCAGAACTCTCATCTGACCAATTAATGAGATATTGGCCACAGAACACATTCAGCCAGGTAAGTAAACAACACTCATGTTTTCAGGTTTGAATATAACGCAAATAACTATTTTTAGACATATTCCATATTTATACAATGCTATGGAAGTCTCTGAAGTCTCTCAGAAGTACAGCTTGCAGGGACACTCCTAAAACACAAAGCCATTAAACCAACAGCATATTTACAACCTCAGTCTACTGGCATTGCCAACGAATTGCCAGAAGCACTGGAGGGTGTCTGGAATTTTATTCTTTTGTTTCTCTGAAATGCAGAGACAAAAGCCACAAGTATTCTCTGATAGTACAAGCTGTTCAGGACACTCAGTCAATCTAAGACACTCTGGGGACAATGTCATTTGCTATGCTCGCCCTAACAAGTTTGATAACAGATGAGAGCAATTTGCCCACCCACTGACAGGTTGACAGACTTGGCATAGACTGATAGGGAGCCAAACATTCGTTAATGTGTGCATTTACATTACTAATATGCAGCAACACCCTGAGCAATCACTTGACAGCATTTGTCAGGTTGTAGAACAAAGAAACAAATCTACCCTGTCTGCACAAAGTCATGGAAGTGAATATGAATACCTGACACACTTTCTTACTTTGCTGACTTCATCCAGGTTCCATCCCAATAGCAGTCTTCCACTGTGATTTACAACAGGAGTATCTTCCATTCCCTTCACACACAAGCTTTGTAAGAGCAGGTAATACATGGAAATACCTGCTAGAGGTAATACAGATGACTTCTAGGTGTGTGTGTGTTATCAAAGCCTTAACTATACTGCAATATCTGTGCATAAACTTGTATATAGTAAGCACTACTTACAATTACTGTTTCGGGTCTTGTTTACATAGTTTAGCTTAAGCAAGATTCCTTTTGAAAGGGAAGCTTGCTAGTGGAAACTAAACAGCAGAATGAAATTTAGTCTGAAGAATGGTACTGGAGTTTTTGGCTGGCTGGTTTTGGACTTAAAAAGAAATGTGTGGTCATACCCATTAACAAATATCTCTAGGGTTTGATCAGCACACACTGGAAAAGCAATAACTCACTTGCTCAAACTATGTGTTATTCATGTACTTACAAGTCTGCCCTGTAAAAAGGACTCATCTTCTCGGGGTGGGGGAAGGGGGCTGTAATGCATAAAAGATAAGCTCTGAAGTAAGTTGTACCTGTTAAACATCTGTGTGGTATACTCATGATCAACATAATGAGTGCCTGTAAGAACCCTGTTAAAGGGGGAAAAAAAACCCTACAACTGAAGGGAAAGTAAGACCTTGAGTCACACCTCACTGGCACCCCTCACCCTGAGGATTACAGCCTGGCACCAAGTCCCACACTAAGCCAGCTGCTACCTTAGCTTTTTATGTTCACACAAACAAAAGATCGGCCAAACGTTTTTATCCTGAGTGTTTTTGAAAGGCACTACACTAAACGAAGATCTTCTCTCTCAACACCTGACAAAACTTAGTTGCATTTTGCTATTGGTCAACAATCAGATATGCAACATAAGCCATAATAATCTACATTTAAAGAGTATGTATCCAAGTAATTACAAAAAACAGGCTTAGACAAAAATGGGACAGGGGAGCATAAGGATAAACTCTTGAACTTCCCACCAAGTTGAGTTCTACTTTTGTTCCCCCTCCCCCCCCCACCTCTCTGTCCTCATGCAAACATACTCCTATGTATAATAACAATTGCAAGAAATCTGAAAGAAGACAAAGCATAAATATATATTAGAAAAAAAACATCTCCCATAAAGGATGTTCTGTACTGGAATCTTACTCATGGCCAAGATACACCAGTAAGATCGATTGCCTATTTGCATGGGCTTGCCAGCTTTCTCTCTGAGAGAACAAGACTTAGATGCCAAGAAAGTACTACTATCTTTAATTAACCTGTTCGTTATGCAGGGAAATTTCTTTTCAAGTCCAAAATGAAGACTTGCCCTTCTATGCCATTATTAAATATAATTTTAATACACTCTTTTAAGAATTCCCATAGTTGAAAGCACTAGAAATTCTCACAGTATCTTCTAGGTTGCCTGTTACTCATTCTATATGCTACTACAAAGCTCTAGACAACAATATACAATCAGAGAAGTCTTAATCAACAGTTAATTCCATACCCACATACACATTAGATAAGCTACCTCCTTCAGGAT